TTGCCCCCTCCTTAAATCCGCCATTGATTTATAAAAGAAAGCTTATAGAGGCCTGGGATCCAGTAGTCCACTCTAAAAATAGCATCAAGGGTAATATTTTAATTGCTTCTGTGTTATTCCTTTATCGTGTAGAATTGTGTTTAAAGCTATACCTTCATGGTCATTTTAAACGTTAGTTAACTACGTATGGATGAAACCCAAAATAGAGGACTTGGGTCAAGTACCCCAGTCTAAAAATAGCACTTGGGGTGTTTTTAAGTTGTGTCTGTTCAGCATCATTAACAACGTGTTAAATTGCCCCAGTGTACCCATTTTCATGCTGGTACCACGATTTGCAAAATTCAAGTCAAATACTGTGCTTAAAGCCTAGACTATGAAGGTGAAACCCAAATTCGAGAACTGGGTTCCAGTACCCAATTTTAAAAATAGCATCAAGGGGTAAGATTGTCAATTACATCTTTTCGTATAATTTTCCAGTTTGCTGAAAGAATAGAGAAAGCTACATTTCATATTCATATAAAAGAGAGAAATTATCAAGAAAAGAATGCCTTAAAAAAGACCAATATCATATTCTAAAAATAGCATCAAGGGGAAATTTTTTTATTTCCTTTTCTCTCAATATATCTTAATATATGATAATGCACCTAAATCTTTCCTTTTGCATCTTTTTTACAAATCAGTAATGACATATGAAGATTGGCCCAATTCGAGGACTTGGGCGAAGTACCCCAGTCTAAAAATAGCACTTAGGGGCATTTTTCGGCTTGTGTCTGTTCGGCATCGTTATCAGCGTGTGAATTTACCCCAGTGTACCCTTTTTCATACTGGTATCACAATTTGCATGATTCATGTTCTAATAGCCTAGACTATTTTGGCCATAGTTGACTTGATTTTTGACAAATTTAACTAATTTTGCACATATGGGGGCATTTTATGGTGTTCTTTCATGTTATTTGGTCAAAATTTGAGAATTCTAAAAATAGTTTTCTTGTGAGGTCACACTTGAGAACTCCATAATGATTGCTAAATCTAGAAAATAATTTCTTATTTGTTCTTCTGTTATATTGCACCCTGTCATTTCTCTACAATCACAAATTTTTGTCCCTCGACATACATGTGCAAATGGGATCGGCTGAGGAAGTATTACCAAATAATATATTTTCCCAACTTTTATTGGGTGTAGTAAAAATAGTTTCACCAAAAATAATTGCTAAAACTAAATGGTTGACAGTGCTTGGTTCAAAGTTCAGCCGATTAATATTTTTATAACAAGGATAAAGAATTTGTATTAATTTGTAAGACTGTATAGGGGCTGTAACAAATGATTTTAATTAGAAGCAACGTAAATCACTTCAAGAACGGCGACTGAACAAAAATCTGCTGAGATTTCTCAGAATGTCAACCTTCTGACGCTCATAAGGTCACAATCGCGAAGGACTCTTTTTAAAATTTGCAGTCATTATGTTTAAAAGCCTTGTTGCTTTACTAAATGACCTCAAAGAACGTTGTTCTATCAATGGAAAAGATTTGAAAAAGCTCAAAAAGGGACGAGCCTCCGGGGTTTCACTCAACTAGGTTAATGGCTATGTAAATTTTCACTTCATCAATAAAGAATAAGAGTAGACGGTCACGTAATTTCAATGGCCTGCTTTGAATCAGACACTGTGTTTTTGAAAGCCATAAAAGGAGCAATTGTTAAATATGGCATCTACAATAATTTTGAGCCCTAAGTTGGTCAAAATAATGGAACACTCTTTGGAGCTTTATTCAAATCTGCTCCTCTTGTTCGCTAAAATAGTGTTGCCGACAGAAAACTGAAATTCTAGGAGAAATTTATGTGCCAATGTAAAAGGAAACAAAACACTCACCTGAGCTTAGATTCAAACTGAAAATTGAAATGGAACTTGCAATGTATTCTAGCTAGGCCGTAAAAAGCAAATATTCTGTATTGGAAATGAAAGAATGATCTTCTGTCAACACACTTTATCAAGTAATATTCAAGAACCTAAATAAAAATCTATTATACTCAGACACTTAAACACCTCAAGAATATTCAACAGAATATATAACAATGATTTGGCTGAGACATTTAACACTTCGAAAATTATATAGCTCGTTAGTCAAGGCAATAGCTGTAAAATAACACGTTAGCTTGCGTTTGCGAAGGAAGAAACAAACTTATAATTACACGCCAGCCAAGGGAACATATAGTTACAAAACACTTTAGCTTCTGCAAAATTAGGCGTAAGCTTGTGCATAGCGACTAATCTGTAGAAAATTATCGCTTTGCTTTCATGAGAAACTCACTTTGGCTGATTTCGATGGTAAACTATTCATTTACTGTCAACAAATTTTGAAAGCACTGTTATCAAAAATGCCAGAACAACACTTGCCCATTGAAAATTTTCAATAGGGTACCCCAAATGACGTCAGAATGTGTTGCTAACTGTCATAATGGACAGCCTTTAGCATCCCTCTGTAACAAGCTCGATGACCTTTATTCTGCATCGGTGATAACAAGTAAAAATGGCAGGGGCATTAAAAATTGACAGAATTAATTTTAAAATTGACAGAATTAAAAATTGACAGAATTAAATTTAGAATGAGAAAATATTGAGAATGGGGATTGTTTTGTAACTTTAATGACTAAAAATGTATCCAACTTATTTAGGATGTTTTATTTCATAAAGTTTTGATAGCCTTGTCTAACTTTTCACTTATTTCCAATTTTACAAAATCCTTCAGAATGAGGACGAAAATTTCGCCATTACTATGCAACCCACCATAAAGCGGATCACATTGCTCTAAAATATTTTGTGTCTTTATGCTGTTGCCTGGTAACTTAGAATATTGGCCATTGGTATTATTGATCAGTAGTCGCTATCAATTTTCAGGTCTTGCTGAGTATTAAGCATGTTGCCTCGAACTGTTTTTGATGAAACTCCCTTTTCTGGAGAGAGTTTCAATTCTTTTAACTTTTAGAAATGTATATCAACTAAGTTGAAGTCCAATTGTTATTTGCTTTTTTCCTCTTGATACCATTCTGGCTTTGGCTTTCTGTGTATTATTTCATATTGGTACAATGACTCTCATATTTAATCGCATTGTGGTGATATCCTTTGGGGTACTAGCTTGGCAGCGCAATAGTACATTTTTGGAAAGAACGGCTAAAATGAGCTATTTTTTTCGTGGTAGCTTTTTTGTTGTGGAGAATATCCTCTGGGTAGCTTGACCTTGAGGTTTATATTATCTTTCTTCTAAGTTGTTTTGAGGTAATGATTTTTTCATTCCTATGGACAAGTGTCCTCCAGGCATGGAAAAGTTTGTAGAGGACTTTCAGTGTGATGGTAAATTTTTTCTGTATATCGAGTTATATATCGGAAACAAGTATCTAAGTATTATGGACAAATATCTTGGAAATAAATCTCTGTGTTTCCATGCATTTTGATATTAGAAGACAAGTCTTTCAGTGTAATGGGTAAATGTCTTCTATGTCATCAGGCATATTGTTATGAGGGGACAAATCACCAGTGTATTGAACAAGCATCCTTGTTATACATAAGGAACCCAACGAGAATGAGATATGGGAGACTCTCTACATTGGCTGAACTGAGCCAGAAGACGCTGTTAGATTTACACCCCATCTTGATCATAATGTTATTTTCTGTTATTGTAGCTAAAATATTACATACAGTCGACAATTTACATATCAAAGTACCCTAGGTAGTATCTAATGCAAATGGAAGCAACATATCTTCTAAAAACTAAAAGTGAACAATTACTCGAAAAAGTAAGCACCTTACACGTTTCCATGTAGAAACAATAGATTTAATTATTTCAAATTTCGCTGACTATCTACAGCAACTATGTAAATTGAATATAAGTAATCCACACATCCACAAAAGTAAGCTATATATAACAAACTTATTCAAAGCTGAAATACCGCGTTATCGAAAAATGCCTTTCACCCCAAATCTCGACCCAGTTCCCTTCTACGCGGTTAGTTGAAAAGGTGAAACAAGTTTTTTACGGCAAACAAAGCAGTGCCTTTTAGGGTTCAGAACAGATTGCAATTGTTTCAAGAAGAGGTCACAACGAATGACCCGAGTATCTCTGCAAAGAAAGAGAACCCCATTTTATCGTATCATTTTCTTCCAACTTGGTTTTTCATACGACGTTTTGGTGTTATAATGAGCTCAATCGAATAATGTCGGTAGTATATCGGAAAATCTCCTTCAACTAACGAATCTGTATTTAAAATTTATGTTATACAATTCTATTTCAGCAGCAAGATTTTAATCTAGTACTATATGATTCATCAAAATATTGTTTTGGTAATGCCTGTATTCATTTTTACAATGCAAGATCAAAGCCTTGTAAGGTATTTGCAAATTGCATAGTACTTCTTCACGTAATCTATGCCCAAATGTGTGAAAATTGTAGAACATTATAAACGAAATTAAAGGTGGCAAAGGCCTGCTAGCACCATTAAAACACATAAAATGAAGGGTGGCAAGTCCCAAATTCTGCTCAGAGTAATTTTCCAAAGGGGCTTGTCATAAATGCGAAACTTGAAATGAATTGGTTTATGAACATAAACTAACAGTCATAGAGACAATCAAACCGTTTCCCTTTAATTAAAATCGTATAGGAAAACTATAAACTATAAATTCTTCATTTTAGATATAGTCCTTTTTGTTTCGTTTCAGACAAGATGCCAAAAATGCATTCTAAGCACAGGATAGTGCATGCACACCATCGTGAGGCTTCTGAAGTTTTGTAAACGGCATGGATAATTACATCGACCGCGCTGCCGGACAAAACGAAGATAACACGAACTTCTGCTTTTCGTAGAATATATACCTGGGCCTACACAAAAGTTTCTCAATATTTTCAACGTTGGTGATGAATTTTTCAAAAAGCTAGAGGATCACTAAAACTTCTCATGTAAACAAAAGACGCAAAAACCTTGTTCTTCGTATCTCAGATGCGTTTATTTCTCTGAGTCGTTTTCATGCAAGTCAGCAAGTCATTTATGCTGGGCACTGTCGATCAATTACAACTAAAACTGTCAACTCAGAGGTGTGTGCTTTCGATTGATTGATTGATTATCTTTTACCTTTAACCAGCTTTTACACACCATTTATTACTTCAATTTCGCCTACAATTCGCATTTAAGACTATCAAACATAACCAATTTGATTTTGAATTGTATAAAATGTATGAAAAATGTCTCTAGCATATAAGGATACTAGTACTGTACAATATTCAAAAACTTTTCATCATTAGATCCAGACTCAATTGATCTGTGATTGCCTTCACGTTGTCAGTTGTTGTAACGATTTCTGGCAATATACACTTTTGAAGGCATTCTTCAAGATCTTTCTATGACAGCTATCAAAATACATCTTGGCATAATTTGAGCATCTTTCAAGATATACTGAGGTGAAGACGAACAAGTCAACAGCGTTCTTACCTTGAAACATCCGTTTTGCTGCATTGCACAATAAGACTTTGATCACACTATCTTTTTAATGCTTTTACTTTTATTAATGCTGGCAACCTTCTTTATTTTAAATGGATGATTGTGCAAATGTCGCCTCTTTCGTTCGATTACCCACTGCTTTTCTTGAAGTCTTTGTATATATTCTGGAACTGGTAAAAAAATTGATATGAAAATCAACATAATGTAAATAATAGAGCTGAAAATAAGGCATTTCTTACCGCTAGAAAGAAGCTTCCTCTTCCAGCAGTATACTTTAACAAATGAATGTTACTTTTTAAGTGTAGATCGAAATGACCAAAATTGTTTCAGCATATATAACGATAAGCACCATAGGGAAAAACATAGGTGTTTAGGCATAAACAGAAATAGAGAAGTTGCCTGGGTGCAATCATGCAATACTGTGTGACACTATGATGTACAATGTTCTATAGCCATGTTCTATTGCAATCTTTATTTATCAATTTATCAAATTTTGAAATAACAAAATGCCCATATTTTCTGATCAGAAAATTTTTTAGAAATGAACTAGATCAAAATAAACAGCAGTTTCGAAAAGCTAGAAGCAACTGCTAGAAAAATAATGCACATGATTGAGTCATAAAAATATCGGGAAATTTGCAAAATGGAAGAACATTTAGATGACTTAATTCTATTTCCCAATGAGAAACTCAATACGAATGGTTGGAGATTTCAAGCTTTTTGTAGAAAATTCTGCTCCGTTTTCTTGATATGGAGTTTAATCAGTAGCACCAGGAGTTATAGTACCCGTGGTACCAGAGCCTCATGAATCCGGGGATAAAGTAACAGACAAACTATATTTGTGAGACTAAATAATAGAGACTCTAGCACGGAGGGTAGATTTTTAGTAGCCTGAAGACAAATCGTAAAACTTACTGCAATACCCGCATGTCAATGGGCAGCGTTCCTTCATGAACTCGTGACTGAGTTTACTGTTGCAGTACATCTTAAAGTACTTGCATAGCTTTAAATCCACACAAGCTAAAACGAAGTTGTTAGAATTTTAGTATAAGAAGAAAAGATCAATTGTTTACTGTTGATACCCCTTACAATGTTTCATAATAAAATAATAAAAATAATAATAATCAATTTATTTAAAGTTGGCGCTAGATAGCTATTTACAGTGAAATGAGCTAATCCAAGCCAACTGTTAAAACTACTACACCAAATAGATATATACGAGATTAAATACATAAAATTTTGAGTACATAATTATCCATTAAAAACAGAATTTAGAGGGTAGTACCATAAAAGTCCGAGCTATTTAAAACGATAGAATTACAAAAAAACAAGCTGTGGCACGAATGTCCTACATATCATTAACATACATTCCATTAACATACTATAAAAATTAGAATACAATTTATACGTTTCTAGAGTCAAAAAAATATATTTCTGCATTAGCAATTGTTGTAGACAATAATTAGAATAAAGCACGATAATAATAACCGTCATTTGACATTTTTGACAATCTATGCAACAACTGTAATAAGTACGCTAAAAAATCTATGAAGATGATTTTACCCAGAGAAGATCCTCATGTTTAGTTATAATACCAAACATCTGTTGACTTTTTGGAAATCCCGAACTTTAAGTTGGTAGAATTCATTAAAATAGAGCTTCAATACAAAATTCCAAGGATTCAAAAAAGCTGATAACTTATTGAACGGGTAAATTTTGACACAAATTTAGGACATTTGTTGGATTTTGGGACGAAAATGGGTTGCAACAACATCATAAAACTATTTCTTCAATCTACTCGTAACTTCTCCTGTTTTAGAAGAATGAAGTGTCATGGGCGAAACAAAATGAAACAAACATATTGATTTATATTGTAAAAGCAATTTCATATTTTAAAAAACGGCACGCAAAAAGAACACGAAGTGATCCAGGAACAACAATGTTGCGCAGTTCAAACGTTTTGGAAGCTCAATTGTCCTTTAGATCTATGTTGTATGGAAAAAATGGGCCAGTTCAATCCATGTTGATGTTTTACAACATAATCTCCTGGAACAGTTCTTTACTTTCGAAAGCAGAGAAGTGCCGTTCTTAAGGACTAAGACAAAATAAGGCAAATGTATTCTTGATTGGAATCAAAGCAACACAGATACTGGCAATGACCTTCTTCCTTTGCCAAATATTTGTTAAATATTTGAATTAGTCCTTATTTCATTGAAATATTTAACATATTCACGACTTAATAGGTGATATTTTTTAGCAAAAACGAAAGGCTTTGAAATTCCAAAACAAATTAATGCTTTTAACTTACACGCACAACCTTTTCCGTATTTGTCTTCTTTTGCAACTTTTTCATCGTTCCAACAACAACCGTATTCAGACTGGAGGCATTTTGGTTTTGGCGGGTTCCCCGGCACTCCTAAAAAAGTATATATTAGAGTTAGACCAATCAGCCAAATGTTAAGTGTAGAATGTCTGATGTTTACATCAAGAGGAAGGCATATTGAAAGTCTATTACGAGCAGGAAAAGTAAGAAATAGTAAATAGAGTCGACAGTACGGTTTTTGGATTGCCGAAGGTTGGCGGAGAAAATTTTTCGAAATTAGAGTCTAGAGTTCACCAAAGCTTGGTAGCATTGCGCGGTTTTGGGCTACGCTAAATAACTCCATGGTTTATACCGAGGGGCAAATCACTCCAAGAAAATCTCGTACACTTTTTGGGGAAATCCTATTGTTTTATCTGAAAATCCCTGGAAATCCTTTTGTTTTAGGGAAAATCTCGTACGCTATTTGCAAGAGTGAATTACCCCACGGTTTATACCAATTTAGCTACGTTACTAAAAAAATTTTTCTTTTCAAGTATGTGAAACAAAGTTCTTTAGAAATCTTCACATGATATGACATGACATGACTATTTTTTTGAATTCAGTATTTTATATATAATTGAAATCTATATGAATTCGTCATATAGCTAATCTATAATTCAAGCGGGTGGACAAGAAGATCTATTTTAAAAATTTGAAAATGTTTTGGCGTTACAGAACTTGAAAAAAGCAAACATTTCATAATATACTACTAAAAGCTTGGTCTGACACTACTCAGAGTGTAAAACATCAGAATAAGGCTCCGAAAGAACATGATGGAAAATATTTACCCAGTTTTAGATCAAAATAGGCCAATCAGAACTGGGTCTATATTTTCGATCGGTTCTTTTGAAGCCTTATTCAGGCGTTTTATACTCTGAGGAGTGTCACATGAAAACGCCTTTAGTAGTATGTCTTGAAATGTTTACTTTTTTTAAGCCATTTTCAATATCTATTTAACTTTCTATAGCATTTTCTTCACCATGATATTTTTCTTTTCAGATTTAGAACATATTTTTGAGCTACAGCGAAAATCTAATATTTCCAACCTCGAAAAAAATAAACCGAAAAAAGTGGTTTCATTTAACAATTTTCCGAATAATCTGCTGTCCAAACGAATTTGATAAAGATCCTAAGAAATTTAAAGAGCTTGAATTGAAAAGATTATACTATAGCTTTAAAAGATTGTTGAAACTTCGCACATGCATAATGATCAGGATTGATGTCTTTTAGGACTAATGTTTCAATTCTGGCTTTTTTCTGAATTAAATTGCCTGAAGAATTTGTTAATGGAAACCATTTTGATTTGGCTTTTGCTGTATATGAACTTTTAAACCAAAGCTACAAACAAATTTAAAATGTACACTATGTTAGAGGAACACCACACAGTGTAATACCAATTATCAAAATAGTTGTCTTTTGAAGGAAAAGAACCTCAGTTCCTTTTGATAGTTGCAAGTGTACTTCAATTATGCTTGCATGGAAATATATAGGAACGTTTGCGCAGTGCTTTTTGGAAAAATCTTTGATAGGGTCAATTTTTTGCGCATTTTATCCAGAGTTTGTCACTCTTTTGCAAACCCTATCTGGAGTTATTCTTTTAGTAAGGATCGTAATTATACGCACTGCAATATCCGCATGTCCTCTTGCAGTATATGTCCATTAATGCAACGTGGTCTCTACATGCCCCTATTTGCTTCCATTTGACGCACAACCCAGCTTCAGATTCTCTGCTTTCATCTTTGCAGCCAACTTAAAGAAAAAATTTAATCATCTCAAAATTCGAGACTGCAGTGGTTATTAGATATTGCTTGAGAAAGCATGATATTTATCTGTGATAGAAAACGCTCAAAACTATGAGAATAACTTTGTTTGAATTTCAAGGTAACAAGAAGGAGAAATCTGAATAGTTATTTAGCCGATACAGAGTTATATAGGAGAACAAGAACAAATGAGGTACAATGTCAAGGACACAATTTTTCCAATCCAAACTAATATATCACCAACGATCAAATACTAAAATTGAACAAAACTAAAGAACAATTTTTTATTAAATAAGTACCAGTAGGTGCATTGCAATCGCCAAAAAAATCAACGGGGATGAACATGAGTTTCTTGCACTCATCTTTCTTCAAGTCACAAAGATGTGTATAAGTTATGCCATTTTTAGCACATACGGGACCAAACATTGTAGTTTCATCACACCGAACTTCACATTCGCAATAAGGCTGCCAGTTACTATCTAACTGACATCGAAAGCCAATCGGACAGTCATGCTCGTCACATGGAGTCGTGGGTTCTGAAAGAGAATTCAAAATTGCATGGCTACTGTACTTAGATACCTTTAGATAATATCAGTTCACTCTTGCAAGCGCTACATACGGACCAATTCTTCTTGAAATGGAACTAGCACATGTAAACTACAAATAGGTTTACAAATCGTAAACGCTTATTTTTAATCTTTTTCAACAAGCATGCTGTTATATGGCTGTAAAAAGATTTTCAAGGAAAGAAAGTGATAGAGGCATCGAATACTAATTTTCCCAGGAGTAACTCAAAATTCAAGATGAAAATATTGTTCAAATCTGGCAGCATGTCATTCACCCGTGGTAAGGATCCATTAGACTTAAGTATAAATAGATACTTTTCATTGAGAATTTTGACTGGAAAAATCATCTCTCTTGACTTGCTGTTTCCTCAGTACAGAGACTATTGCACTATTCTTCAAGAGTCTGTTGTTCTTTATAAAGACGCTTGGGACACTTAAAAATTCCCTTTGGGCCTATGAGCCCCCCAACCCCTCACGTAAAGGAGCATTACATTGGACCTTCGCTTTTGGGTGATTAAGGCTATAAAAAGCATTAAAAGTACATTCAAGAAAAAAAAAATTTTAAATTGTAAGCAGCATATGGTCATTTCAGGGACAAAAGTTTGATTCTGAATGGTACATCCCTTAAAATTGGGGGAGAAAAGAGCAAAGTATGTTATACAATCATCTTCGGTTAACATGTAAAATTTCTTAATGTTACCCATTATGCTAAGAAAATAAATATATTTCTTCTAAAAAGGTTCTAAAATATAAAAGACAGTTAAAGAAAGACAGACTATAATTTCTAAAATTTTTTTAACACTTTTTCAGGAATTTACTGTAGCTACATGTTTAATACAAATCAAAGCATGTACAATTTCCACAACAGAAGGGGAAAGGGGCATGTTCCGAATTTTTTTCCTTTCAATATTCTTTCAAGTGGACAACCAGACGTTTCAACTTTTTGTTCATTGCACTTTGAAGTTCAAAACGTGAATAATGAGGTAGACATCATTTTTTAACAATTATGACTTGCAAAATATATGAACCAGAAAATTGATCGCATGATCTAGCCAAATTTGGGTCTGGATGATCAAGAACAGTTTTGAGCGAAAAATTCCTTTAGGATTTCCATGAATATCAATGCTGCTCCAAGAGATTCGTTAAGGGGAAAAATGAATATCTGAATGTACAGTTAATCCAGTATTAGTTAGTATTTGCTTTTTAAATCTGTTTCAGATTAATAGAAGCCAATAGCCAAGTCTTAGAGATGATGATGGATAAATTTGAATTCCAAAGTTTGAATTCGGCCTTCGTTTGTGTACTTTGCCCGAGACAAGCCAAAATCCCGTAAAAATTTCAACTGCAGAACGAGGTATTTAAAAGGTACAAGTTGACGGTGCAAGTTATCAGAAATAAGCCCCTCCCCAAACATTTTGAGATTTTCTCTGTCATCTTAAGAGAAATGCAGTTATACATGGAGCTATATAACAAAATTTATCCTTTCAAGTGACCCCCACATCTTTTCAATGCATTTGCTATCAACCAGGGGCGGACACTTGCTCAATTATTGAGGGGGGGCAAGCCTATTGTTTTAATAAGATGATGTCACATTTCCCCATTGTTTTTTAAAAAGATACCATCGTTTCCCAAAATATTGGAGGACGACAACCCCTCTTCGCCCCCCCCCTCCCCCAGGTGTCCGCCACTGCGCTCATTAGCAATTATTCCAGAGGTATTTTGTAGCATGAATGTAAGAAAACGGTAAGGCCTTATAAAGAAATCATTCAAACCTTTTAACGATTGCGCATACAGTAGTTTTCAATTGAAAATGAAAAAAACACATAAAAGTAAGTAATTAGGACTGTATAATGCTAGATACATAAACGGATTTAAAGGCAATCGAAGTATGCTAAAATCGATTACGGCATCTGTCAATCAACAACTGACCAATTAACGGGCAGGATAACACTCACAAGCTTATTGATTGGCCAATCTCTCGATTGCCTTTTAAATCTTATTGGAAAACTCTAACAGGCAGATAGATAATCGAATACAGCTATCCATTCTCTTTGCTCTTGCTTATATTCGCTTTCCGTTGGGTTGCTTGTTACTCATTCTGTTTACTTCTCAGTAAGCAGAAACTATAAAAAGCAGAAACTTACTACAAAAGCCGCATGTGGCAGGACACAATTTTTCCATCCGATGACGAAATTCGTAACAGGCTCTGTGATGCGATAAATGCTTGCAGCCAGCATAGACATCATTACACACTTTTGCTGAGAAAAAAACGACGATGCGGATAAAAGAAATTGTCTCGGTACGGCACAATTTTAAGCGCAATTTGACGCAAGACATAGTGTTAATAAAAGTTTTCAATTTGTGAAGAGTAGCAATAAGCTTCCATATCAATAGATGTAAAAAAATTAATATTTTTATTATTATCACATATTACTATGTACTTATTTAGGAAATTACAATTTTTTCAAGAAATGCTTGAACAAACGACCAAACTTTTAGTAATGATATTTGCACCACAATAGAAATGTTCAAGGCCATCATTAGAATTCATGAAACCTCGAAATTAGGCGATACAAATTGGAAAGCTTTTTTTAAATAGCCATGTAATACTCTAGAGAGGGACATGATGAAATATTGATCAAGGACACACCAGAAAAGCAGGAGAAGGAAATCTTTGCAACCAGCATTATTATTTGCAATTTTTCCAAATACAACAATACTGTAACGTAACAATACTGTCATGTTTATTGACTTTATTCACTTAATTCTAATGCACCTGCGACTTTGCAGGCAGTATAATAGTATCGTAAGTTTCGTCGATTAATCATAATATTGTATATTTATCATTTTAGCTTGTTATGTTTTTCATAATTTTTTCTTGTAACGTTATAAGTTTACCTAATTTCTTTTCATTAGCCTTCTCATTAGGTTTCTCTTAATGAAACATAATGATTTTGTTACAATTTTTAAATCGCTTATTAATACTTACGACAAAACCCGCATGTATCAGGACAAATATGTTTCATCTTGCCGGGGTTCGTGAGACAGCCTCCAAGAACCTTGAGTTGGAGACATTTCGATTTGACATACGAATCTTCACAGGAATCTAAAAAAGAAAATTCACCCAGTTGTACATGAATCTCTCTGATTTGGCGAGGCTCATATCAACTGTCTGGGTTCTTTTAAAAATGTTACATTTCGGAAGATTTTTGTTTGGCTAAAGGTTCTGAAAATATGATAAAAATGTAAAATATTTGGAAAATGGTGATAAAAGGGCAAATAAAACTACCCCTTAAAGATACGAAAGGCCAAGAAGTGATTATATTATTCTTCAATCAAAATCAAATTAAATCAAATGATTATGTCCAATATGAAAACTCAGGATTGCAGAAAACAGCGTTACCAGTACTACAAACTTTTCCTTGGTCTCCTAAGAGCACAAAACTTCCAAAAATTTGCAAAGAGAGGTACATAAATTTCTTTTTAGGTGTGGATAAAATCTCAAGCTAGCTATATTTCGAGGTAGCCAATGATTGCCCACAACAACGTAATAAAGTAGAATATTTTATAGAGCAAATGAACATCTTTTCTTTAAAGAGCTGTTGCTTTTGAGAGTTTATGCTCAAGAAACGATGACGACTTTATCCTGATTTTGAGACACAATCATGATATTGAATTTTTTTTATATCGTCTAATAATAAATTGGTGTAACATATTACTAGAAACATTGCATACAAAACTACTTTGATACACTACCAAGACGATACTGCAAGTAGCACAATGCTGTGTCTACCATGCGGCCATTAAACAGAACATGTTGTAGAAACTAAATTTGAATTGCATAATTTTATTCAAAACGATTTGTTGAATAAATATATCTTAGAAACTGATTTTAGCATGCGTAGAAACTGATTTTCGCAGAGAGTTTAGCATACCTGGAGAGTTTTTTTCCTATCTTAGGGGCAGAGTACCTTTAAAATATAGATTAATAGCGGAAATATTTGCATTGAGTGAATTGCTGCATTACTCTCAACCAAGGTCATAGCAGCTATGCTATGGAAATTTGTTTTCATAACAAACACGCCTGATACAAGGACATCTACATACCGCTTGACTTTCATACGTCCTGTACATTTGACGGTCCAATACGCAATTTGCCCTTGAGTATCATAACCAATAAAATGGTGGTCGCGTTTAGGAAAAACAAAGTGATATTGCATAAACCAGTTTCAATTTCTGAATGTATTACGATGAAGAAGGGTTCTGATAATGGGTAGAAAAGATGTTGTGTTAGGGAAAAAAGGCTCGAATTATGAAAATTTAGTCGTCGTTCCCTGCATGAGCTTCCAAAGGAAACAGTTATCAAGCAAATAGCTACTCGTGAATTTCTTAAGCCACGCATTTACCGCGTTTATTTATTAAACATCTGAGATTTTGTTTATATAGCGGTCCTTGACAACAGCTCGTGATAATAAAAGTAGCGTCCCATTTTCTTATATCAAAATACAGTTTTAAATTAAAGTAGAAGGATTAAAATTTTGTTTATAAATGTAGACAGATGATTTGTGCAATCGGTATCAGCGCAAAGAGAGCTCGCTGTAAAAATAAATGTTAGTCTTTGCAGCTATTTTGAATATTTCGATTCAAGTAAAATCTGTCCTTTTGTAGGCAAGGTCAGACTTTGGACAATGCATGTTAAAGCGACTTCACTCGATTAGATATGAAAGCACTTATTTTTGAAAAATAGTCAATATTAGATTAGGGTTAACTTTCGATTTATAATGCAGATAACTTTACTTAAAGGGGTTGAAATTAAGCAAAAAATGGCATAATTATTATATCGACAGAATCTGGAAATATACCCTACGGCCTAAAGCAACAAGCCTCTCCTTTGGATGTTGTCAAGTTATTTTGAGTAGCACTTGAGCCTGACTATCCTAGGCCCCGTTCACACGGGAATGCAATCGTTCCGTTCCGTTCTTTTCCGTTCCGAAAAGCGGAACACTCAGGGGTTGTGTTCACACGGGAACGCTTTAAACGACATCGTTCCGTTCCAAAAAGTGGAACGATAAAATAAGTGATACGAAAAGTGGAACGGTACGCAATCGTTCCGTTCCGTTCCCGTGTGAACGTGCAGAACTGGTCCAGAAAATGGAACGATAAGAGTTTTGCCCTTGGCGCATGCGTCTGTGTTGTTGTTGAGGGAAGGAAAAGGTGACAATAATAAACTCAGCGAAGAAAATGGAGGATTTCAAAAACACCATTGGCTGAATCTCGCCGTTAGTCCATTTAAAAGATTCAACACCATTCTGCAAACAATCCTTCCTTTTAGGGTTGGCTTCAATTTTCCCACGAGCTTGCTTATTTTGGGGCGCTTTTGTATTCTCCATTTATTCAAATTGTTTAAAAAATTCAGAGATAGCTCAGAGACAAAAAAAAGATGAAATCTATCTCCATTATGGACATGCGCATTAAAAAATCATTCGCTTATTTTGGCGCGCAAAATGCAGAACGGAACGATTGCGTTCCCGTCTGAACATAAACAAAAATCGATACGCAATCATTCCGTTACCGTGTGAACAGTATACCTTTTCGTTCCAGAAATTGGAACAAAAATGGAACGGAACGATTGCGTTCCCGTGTGAACGGGGCCTTAGTGCTAAGGTCTTGTAAAAGACCAATCCTTGTAATTCTTAAAAGATGGGGAAGAACGAAGGAGGTCACTTTTAGCAAACGGGAATGCTCAGTACTATTCAGTTGCAACATATATGTCATCTGTGTACTTTTGCCATTCGGCTTCAGAAATGGTAGCTTCGTTGGTTTGAGTTAGGCTTATAGGGTTGTCAAGTGATGACGTCACGAAAGTCTATTTTTAGAATTTTCGAAATTTGTTCTCATATCCTGGAAGAGCATCATAAAATACCTCTAAATCTGTAAAATCAGTTGACGGTATTACGAATTGGCTAAGGTACGACCAGATGAGCACAAGCTCTGGCCACATCAAAAGTTTATGAACTGAGCCAAAATAACAGTAATCCGTTAGCAAACTCCAAATGTTCTATTGGCCATGGCTCACCCCATGTTTGACATGTTTAACTAATTCTACACATATGGAAGTATTTCAAGGTGTTCTATTACGTTATGTGGGCAAAATTGGAAAACTCTAAAAATAGTTTTTGTGACATCACACTTGAGAACTCTATTAGGGTGCTGTCACTGAAAAACATTTATATCTAGCCAAGTTAATTGCTTAATTGTCTGCCAGATGTGATACACGTCACAGGATCGTTTGTGTGCCTGAGCAGCCACTCCTCCTATCCGCCTCGCAGTGCCAAGCTTTTTGTCTGGTCAATATAACAAGCAATAAAAACTGCAGAAAATCTCGATTACCAAAATGATATAAAACTTACTGCAAAAGCCACATGTCTTGTCGCAAACACTCTTCAGCTTTTCTCGGCTCTTCTTGCAAAAGCCACGCTTTCGAAAATACCAACATGTACTAGTACTAATTTCATCTTTGCAGGGCTCTAAACGATGAAAGTAAAAAGGACATTAAAAAAGTGTTTGCACAATTATACATCTAATCAGCAGAAAGTCAGTGTTTTGTTCCAACCACAGATAAACAGCGCGAATTATTCGTAAGGGGTACCAAGTCTCAGTCACTTGTTAAAGATAATTTTCTATCTATCAGCCTAATCATATCAACGGCTTCAAAATAATTCTTCAGCTGCAAGTTCGTATGTTCAAGCAAAAGATTATGTAATAATTTTATAAGGGAAGATTAACAGCAAAGCGGCAATGTTTAATTTCAAAAGATTGCGATTAGGGTAATTTCAAAAGAAAAACCAAATCGGTCGAACATTTGCAAACTCTTTAAATAAGTTTCCGAAATCTGAAACAACAACACGAAGAACATCTTTTGGATAGCTTTCGATGTAAGTAAATAGACATTTGTGTTGTACATATTGCAAAAACAATTTCCCTGCACTGTTTTCATTTTTCCTGGCTATTAAGTAATCTCGTTGTTTGCAAAAAGCAGAAAGATTAATGAAACAAAGTATCTTGATTCAATATTTTGCCATTTATTTAAACGTAGTAGTATTTCTTTGCTTCAAAGACAGGTTTTTCACGCGTCAGACGAGAATTCCATTGACCGTAGGCTGGGACGAGGATAAGTATCCTAGGCTAATGCAATATATATACGATATTGAGAATATTGGAAAGGTAAACATGAGGGTGAAGATTTGGAGATCGGTCAGCATTAAATGGGTGATAATGACGATAATAATGATGATAATCGTAATAACCAGTCGAGGATTAACGTATAGATTTGACAGGATTCGGTTGCATTACTTGGTCTAAAGCTTTACGATTAATTCTTTTGATGCTGGGTTGTAGAAGTCGTTATCTATCAGAAGGATTAAATCTTTTCTTAATCGGCCTACTAACATAATCTTATTTCTGGATTTTCCATAAACTATCAATAAAGAAGATTATTCAACAAAATGGGACTATGTAAGTCGATGTACACAATGAGACCTTCATCAAAACTGAAGTAAACTCTAGGAACGATTTGCAAGTTAGCTTTCCTTGTTCGCAGAGGTGAAGAGAATGAGGGAATTAAAAGTAAAAAGAGAGCAAAGTGAGAAAGGAAGAGGGCAAAGGAAAAATATGAATGACAACGGGTGCTTGCATTCCGAAAACCAAAGCTACTTTGTCTATAAGGAAGCAGAAATCTTATTCATAAAAAAGGCAACTTCGATCTTCCTCTAACAACGATAAAACGTCTGCTACAAGGAGAGACTCAATCTGGATTACCCATCGCATAAAATGCGAGAATTGACTTCAAGTTAAATGAACATAAATCAGAACAAGGATGAAGGGTGTGATCAGAAAGTCTTAGATATCTTCCTATACTGCAATTTCTGACGAAATTCAGCCGATACCTAGCCAGTTTACCTCTGTCTTGGGGTACACCTCTCTCAAATGCCTTTTTTGAAGGCTAGTATTTGTAAATAGTATCTAGAAACACTGTAAAAAGTAGATGCCAGCTCAGTGGAAAATTTAAATTGAGGAGCAAAGGCCATCCTGGCTTAGAATTTATCATTCGTGGCTGTTATTTTTATTGGGTCTATTTCATTAGCGTTAGGGCCGTAAATCTGTCATGTGAATTTGGGAGGGGGGGGGGGGGTCAGCAGAGCGAATGAATATAAAGTATGCAGTGGGTCATGGCACCACAAGGGATTTATGGTATGTGTTATGGAAACAGTTGAGGGGAAAATTACTAAAGTCAATATTTTTGGATTTCTCAAGACTTTCTGCTCTATAGAAGGTAATTACAGATATTCCTTAGTACATTGACTGTGTGTGTATGATTGGATGGATAACATTTTTCAGAGACGGCCCCAAGAAATTGAACCTTGGGAGCTAAGAATCAAGTTTACTGTCGTAGGAGGACCCACCATGGTTGGGTCCGACGCGGAAGAAATTTTTTGAAATTTTACCTTCTAGAAAGGCTAAAAAAGCATCCCCCAGACTAAATTTAATAAAATACTAGAATCGCTCAGGATATAAAGTTCGGCGTTTCTCAGAAGAACACAGATTATTGTTTATTGGGTGAAATTTTGGAGGGGAAGAGTCATGCTTAAACCTTAGTGACAGACTTTGGGGAAATATGGGACGCTGTTGTATTGATTGGTAGAAATTTACTTTCTGAACAGAAATGTGCGTCTTCCTTATTTTGACTGATTTCAGTAGGCCATGTTTACACATCAAAAATAAATTAATTTAATGATACAAAAAGTGATTTACTAAATAAAAGTAAATAATAGACAAATGATAGAAATGTACGTAAATAAGTTAGTAAATAGGTCAAATAAAATGACAGATTGCTCTCTTTTTATTTCATACTCTGTTTTCAAAAATAAAACGGTAGATAACGGTAAAAAACGGTAGAAAACGGTAAGTTTTTATCTTGTAAAAATTATAAAAACCACTCTGCTTACAAAAATAACCTTAGTGGCTGAGGTTTGTTGCAATAACACAGAAAACGTAGTTTGGTTTTAACCCGGCTACCAGTGATTTCTTTCTTTCAAGAAAAATGATGGTATTTTCTCCAAAAAAATCGTTTTGCTCCAGATTCTTAGGGGGGGGGGTCCAGTTCCCACCGTCTTCCCCGGGATTTACGGCCCTGATTAGCGTGCAGAATCAAACAAAATTTTTAGCGCAGTCTTTAACAGGCTAGTACCATCTTTTTTGGTAGGTAAAAATTCTTTGGGAATGGCGCATCCAATGTGCCATCAACCAGGTTTGCCTTGAAACTCAAAGGCTAAGACAAAGCAGCACTTAAGTTTATCACTTTTTAACTCAAAAAAGTGAATTTAAAAAACTGGCATGCAACAAATTAGAAAAAAGAGGTAGAAATTTGATGAAGAAAAAACGACAAAACATTGGTTTATGATAAAGCTTGTCAAGAAAATTTTTCAAGAAGAAATAGCACCTTCTAGTTTCAATATTTGCGCCCCAAACACTAGACTGTGTATCTTGCAAATAGCAAAATGCTGAATTATGTTCTATTGTCTTAAACAAATAGTTGAACATGAAGATAAAATCAGATGATAATTTAATGATTTCAATAGAATAATTAATAAAACATTAACAGTTGAAAATAATTTTTAGCATGCTTTTCGAAGCAGCAGGAAAGAAAATGGCTGATGCAACTTAGCTTTAGGAAACTAAAAAGCCAAGAGCACTTAAATCCAAAATTAAGTTGCAAGAATTATATGTAAATTTCAGCTTGTGGTGCGTTAGGATTCTCGTTCTTTAAAATGGCGCTAATGTTGATGATAGCGCAAAAGAAAGACCTGGGTACTATGACATGATTGCCATTGGGGGAGACCTAAGCTAAAACTCCATCAACAACCTTTTGGTTCTTGCAAATGATCAACATAGTCGAGAAGGTTTCATTTTGATCAATGCAATTGCTCGTCTTGCTTTAATCCATCAACTTCCAGAAATAATGAATCTCAACTTATAAAATCTAGCATTTTGCATGACATCACGTAGTCATCAAAACAAACTAATTTCGCCAAAAATGTAAATATAAGCAATTTGCTATAACATGCAATTAGGTATTTTCTTTAGCAGCTAAATCTAATTGGTGCATGTAGATATATCGCACAGTGGTAGCTAAATCCAACCACGAAGAGCTCCAATCACATGAATAGGATCATCTAGCTTATTATCAAATTATAAATCAGATTTTTGGGCGTGAAATCAATTGATCATTTTGCATCAATAAATATCCGTGGGTGGGCTAAAATCTATTTCAGAGCTTTGTTGTCGGCAACTAGAAACAGCTAACTCTAATATATGATTTCAATTTGGATTAGCAAACAAATGGATTAGCACCAGATTTCGAAAAGGATAGCTTTTGCTAAGGCTTGTGAATTGCTACCTCTGTGAAATGAAAACATTTATTTACTTATTCCGGCAAGAACATACCTATTGCAATATAGTATGCAAGCACAGGTGCACCAAAAAAAGATAACCCGCAAATTCTATAGACCTTGACTCTTAGTTTCTGCAACAACTTGCAGCAATAAACGTTAACCAATTTTTAAGCAATTTGCCAACATTTTAATAGTCCATAGCGGCCATTTTTACAAGACCTGGAATTTGTTGTTGCTAATGGCCGATCTCCTGCAGAAAAACACAAACTCACAAACAAAGCTAAAGAATTATGACGTGTGTATATGGTGTAGAGTGAGTTTCTGCATGGGAATGCGTTTCTGCATGGAAATGAGTTTCTGCATGGGAATGAGTTTCTGCCTGGGAATGCGTTTCTGCCTGGGAATGCGTTTCTGCGCACATACGTTTCATGGAGTCCATATACGCATATACGTTTCATGTAATGGCGGACATGCAGGGCCTAGCTGTGAAGGGGCCATGCCCATGCAGAAATGACACCGACAAAGCGTTATCAGAGTATTTTTACAAAATTATATACTACCTTACTATTCTTTTGCGTAGCATTCTCTATTGGTGATACATCATCGGCGTAAAAGCAAGGTTTTAGTCAGGTTTGTAACTTTGATAAGGCGTATGATAATCAGTTGACCGAATAAAGGGTAATTTTAACGAATATTTGTTTAAGCAATAAGGTAACATAATAAAACATAACTTTAAGAATGGACGCTTGTGGCTAAGGCACCAAGCATACTGCGTTAGGGTGAAGTTTCGGGTAAAATGCAAAATACAATATATCTTAATACTTATGGATGGTACATTTTCAGTAGCGTGCTTTTTGAGCAAATTATGTCAGAAATATTACTACTAATGCGATAATTGTTTATTTTTTAGGAGAACCTTGCCTACGCTACTGTTTGTAACCAGATCACATTGACAAAAAATTCATTGCGTAATAGATTGTTGTAAAATAAATATGCCATTCCAAAACCTTGGATTCTTACAAGTCTTGTTGATCAAATGAATGCACTAGCATGCAAAAAAGCTTCCAAGTAATTAATTATTAGAATTTCTATTGCGTAGTTTATTTAAATGCTATCCATAATTCATAAATAGACTGAGATATGGCCAATAAACTACCTGGATTGTACAAGCGGATACTTTTTGGCTTCGTTGATAATAAGAATTTTCAAAGATTTGTCATAATTTTATAGCCAAGATCAATAAATTTAGAATTATCAGCACTTAAATGTTCCAGTGATTCGCTAGGAAAATGTCTGTGTTCTTGTGGCCGAATGTCAGCAAAACATGCATAAGAGATATGTGATTTTCCAAATTGTAAGGTGTTTCATGGGGTTCTATCAAATCATTAGTCCAATTATAAAAACATTAAAAATGCAATAATCATATTATTATTTTTCTGACATAAAAATGCAATTTCAGCCCTTCCTGTTTGCCAATTACTGGTTCAAGGCAAAGCATTTTGACCGGATTCCGAATTCCGCTACATGTCCTGCATTTGTCTTATATAATCCGTTTATTCCAATACTTCGATCGCTATCAATATCAGATGTACCTCGTTCTCTTATCATTTCTTTCTATTCAGTATTTCTTAGAAATATTTGGCACTTTAACAACCTGCTTGGAATTGGACTATAAAGCCACTTTGAGCTCCTGCATCAAATTAATTATTGACTCCCTGCTGCTGTTTTAAAAAAACAAATTAGTCGAATTATAAACAAATTCAGTACCTTATGCCTTGCTGTGTTGCAATTGGTAAAAAAAGTTTAACAAACCTACCTTTAAGGTATGCTTCAACCGAGAAGATATACAGCACTGCTAGCGTAATCAGGTGCATAAACGAGCTTTCCATGATTTTTCCTCTTCAAAACAAAGTTTATAATTATAAATCTTTCATACAGATGCACAATCACAGGAAGATAAATCGTAAACCTGTGAAAAATTTGCTATGGTGACTTCGTGTCTTCATCCACTGTTTTTTCTTACATTCTTTCAAAAAAGTTTCACCCATTAGTAACCAAATACTCTTTTTCTAATAAAATCGTTCCTGAAAATGAAATGAGGAAAATTTCGTTAATTATGTTTTTAAATATTGAACACAATCTTTCAGAACTATTGATCTTAGCTTAGAATACTAGTTTCGATAAGCATTCATGGTAGCAAAATTTCCATAGAAATAGTTACGGTAATGTTCTGGCAAATGATTGTGAACTTCTTAATGCAGAATATCAAGATATTATCCTCTTAGGTATGTGCGGTACAGTATAGTACAGTACTGTATTCCCACATAGTGTGTTATCAAGCACACTAATCAAATTTTGGTTGTTCCAAGTGTGATAGAGTCAGAACTTGTAGCTGCCTTAGTCGATTTAGCCAGTTACTGTAGCTCTTCTGGGATAACATCGTCTGCAAAGCGACCATATACAGAGCGGAAAACGGTATCTGGTATCTACTCATGCGCCTCTTACCCTGTGCAAAACAGCTAAATTGAAGTTGCCATGTGAAATTGTGGTAATTTCCCTTACCCCTTCTCTCCCTACGAATTAAATCCCCCACCCCAAAGTTGATTTTAAGAAAATGACTTTCTTATGAAACGTTTTCGCGTTTCTGTCATGAAAAACAAAAGACGGAGCCTTCAGCAAATCGGGAAGGATTTACAGAGTAAAAATATTATGAAGGTCAAGCTTGTACAAGACACCACTCTGTGCAAAAATGGCTTATGGTAGATAAGAGCGTCACCCAAAGCCATGCTTCTACAAAGCCGGTATATTTTCGAGGGGCATGGTGTCAGCCATGCACCAATGACTCTACTTGAACCCTGAATATCAATTTGGTGCTCACATGTTTATCTTATTTAAAAAATAATCTTGTAAATCAGTGCCATACCTGTTTCTCTTAAATCCAAAAACAGATTTGCATATCTAGGGTTGCATTCCAAGAAGCCAATCAGTTACACGGGTATATATAGCTACTTTTGCAATTTCCTTTAAACAATGCTTCCCGACAAGGTTTGCTTCCAGGTTGATAAGATGGCAATGGCTGGCAGATTTCTGTACCAACAGCACAGTGATGGCGCATTTATTATCGGCAACCAGTTACAGTTGACACGCCAAAACGCAAGTTTCGCTGTGGCTTACTGCGATACCTTAATGCGCAAGCATCTTTTACTCCTATTGACTAAACACAGTCTGTAATAAAGATGAAGTTATCCAAATAATAATCTTTCATTTTATAAACATTCTTCACTTTGAATAAGTCAGGAAATACAAAAAATAGCTCATTTGATATCTTATTGATGCGTATAGTTTTGAACTGCGTTGCTTGTTTTCATATCGGGACACTATGATCAGCGGGAAAGCTACGACGGATGATAGGCTTCCACAAAGCTGCAGTATTCTGAGAATGTTTAGCAATATCAAAGCCTCTAATGTAGTGGGCTTCTGTGGGGCTATTCACACTAGCAGCAGGGGAAAACATTTGATCATGGGGTGAAGGAAAATAGTTGCCATCGCATTTAAAAGCGGGCTGAAGACATTACATTGAACGTGGATAACGATCATCTTTCTCTTTTCACTGCTTGTAGCCTTAGCAAGAAAGCGTATTTATTGGCTTACGTTTTTCAAATAAATCCTAATGTAGGGGTAATAAATATTCTGAATATTTCATCATCATTATATCAGACGTGATTTCAAACGTACACTTGACCTCCCTGCTCTTTCTAAACATTGTCATATGGTTGATAAAATGTTCTTACCTTTTCTTCATCTCCTTTTACCTTCAAACATTTTTACCTTCTAGCTGGAATTGGGGAACATTCGAAACTTCAAAGTTTCAAAATAATTACACGCAGAGAAGATGAAATTACTGCAATCTTTTAATATGTAGGTCATAATAAATTCAAATTTGCTCAACTTCGTCACCTTTACTTTATCTGGCAAGGCGTCCATATTTAAAGGCAATAAGACCCGTTCACCTGTAATCGCATAATTCTACTAGAAGAGCATCATTTGTTTCAGACTCTCGACAATAGCACGATAAATGAAAAAGCAGAGCAAAGAACATCAAAGAGGGGCGTGGTCATGAATGAACATATAGCAAAAGCAGGACAGCCTCTTGCCTAAGAGCAGCCTCTATCCCATGTTTTGAATAATTTCAAACAATGTAACAATATTTCCTGCAGTTAGTTCTCATTCAAACGACTTGCAGGAAATTCATGAAAAGGCACCTTACAGTAGAGAAAACCACTTGTTAGGTTCAAAGATCATTCAGGTTCAAAGATTCAATCCTTGCCGAAAAAGAATACAAACAATTTACACATTCCTACATTATACATTACCGGTGTTTCCACAGACAAAACCTCGACTTATCATAGAGTCTTTGTTTTATAAAACCTCAATGGATAAGACATCTGATTTCCGCAGAACTACTGATTTTTGTCAAATTTCAATTCAATTAAAGCAACAAGAGACGCTCGTCACTTTTTATGGATGCTGCCAGTCCTTAACAGTAACTCATCAGCTGTTGTCACTAACATAGCAAAAGTCTTTCTTTAGCAAGTATGCATCTAGCCAGCACAGCATTTCATAAAACGTTTGTGAAGAATTAAACATTTGTGAAGTTAGAATGTGTTATTTTCATCATTATACTTTTATTATCATACATTTATATATACATTAATATATTTATACATTTATCAAGGCTTCTACCAATTTTCACATCATCATGTCGACCTTTTTGGCTTGTTATTTCAACATTGATCACTTTCATAGTTTAGTCTCACCACTATCATGAATTTAACATTATTTTTTATGGCTCTAAGTTTGATTGCTGATTTGTTTATTTCAACTGAAAGAACCAAAAAATGATAAAATTTTTTGCATTTGTAAACAAACCACTCATTTTTGGCCAAAAGCTTTCTCTAAAACCGGTTTGTTGAATTTTTCATCGAACTTTTGCATGAACAAGATGTTGTTAGTCGGCGGAAGAAGGCCATTGTGTCTTCTTCTCAACCTTCTAAAAAACAATTGGGGTTTTTAATGGCCGTCTATGCAATTGGCGCAACGACAGCCTAAGAATAAATGGTCAAAATGACGAGGGAACAACACTTTCAGCCTTTAACTGAAAATGGTGAAATATTCTGAGGACTATCTTACCCTTATTTGCTAACGTTTGTATCGTACCCTGAATCAACTATCAAATTGAATCTGAAACATTGATTTTAGTATACTAGTCTGGTACCAGTAGCCTCCACAACAGGTAAGTTTTTACAAACAGGGTCGCCGTGGCTTAGGAGCAGGTGCGCTATAGAACCATAAGGTTTCGGAAAAGTTCGGAAATTTGGCCACTATATCGGAACTTGTATTAACATTTTTGTCAAATTAAAGTTGAGATGCTGTATTAAGAACAGGTCATTGGGCAATTTAAATTGCAGAAACATTTCTTGACGACTCAAACCGTTGTTTTGGAGTTCAGAAGTTTTTGTATCGCTTTATCCCAATAAAATATTGGTAGATTATGTAGGTCGTATGTAATGGTCTTTAGGAAGGGTACTGCTCACGCAAAATCGGTGTCTTTCCCAGATTTTTTTATATCAGTAAGTTAGACTTTAAGCTCAGTTTCTACTTACAAGGTAGAACAATAAAAAATTTGGCGATGACTGATTCCATGGATGAACTTTAAAGGGCCTCTCCAGCCAAATTTTGCACTTGCATTTTATTGGCTAATCTAAAGGAGTTGAACCTGCTGATCACGAATTCGTTATTTGTTTTTTCGATATTTTTAACAGTTTGTGAGATATAAGCTCTTGCATTTCGATAATTGAATTGAATTAACCGATAAAACTTTTCGGTTTGGTGACACTGTGACGCAATTTTGACATCACAGTGTATTTCGTTAGTCTCGCCTCAAACCGAATCGAACGTCGGCGATTCGCAAATTGAACACTGCAATCAGAGGTGGCGCCAGAAATCTTCCAACAGAGGGGCTGGGGCTTCCGACAGGGGGCTAAAATGACTAAAATAAGCAGTTTTCGTACGTTATTTTGTCAAATTTGCTCCGACAATAACCTAAAATTTCCTCCGATGGGGGGCTAGATGCTTCCGACGGAGGGGCTGTAGCCCCCCCTAGCCCTCCCCTGGCGCCACCACTGACTGCAAGTGATAGTACTCTCAGTTCTGTTCCACCGGCTTTTAGTCTGAAGCCTTTAGTTGTTCATCGTTTCTGGAGAACAACTGAAGTGTCAATTTCGATTAATTATACGCGAGGGAAGAGCTGGAACAGGAAGCAGTAGCTTTGTGGGCCGACACAGGTGATCAAAACAAAGTCTTGACACAGCATGGACACATTCCGACCCGCAAGCTTAGAATGATTGTAAACATTTAATATTTTTCGATCCTAAAAAGCTCCTGCTCTAGATTTAGATGCCGTTATCAACGTGTGACCATGACTCTTTCACGATTCGATTGAAGACATACGAAATTCATGGCGAACGAGAGCTGCACATTGTGACGTCAGAATGTCACAAAACTGATTCGGCTTTTGTCGTTTTTTTTCTCGGAAAGGTGCAACTTTAAAGCCTTATAACTTCTAAACTAATTGAAATTTTGCAAAAACAACGACTTTGCCATAATACACGCACCAGATGCTAACTTGTTAGTCAATAAAATTATTTTTTTTTTGCTGGAGAGGCCCTTTACAATCACCACAATGAGCATTTCCCACTCGATTGTATTTTATCTAGCGTATAATGAAGTCATTTCTCGTCATTATAAATGTTGTGACATTATTAGCCTCGTTTAAATGCTATGTTGCGAGGCGCCAAAGTTGATGTTATGTTTGAAGAGGTAAACTTTTTAATCGTAGCGGTCGACATTGAATCCTCATGTTGGTATCTATAGCAAGCTGCTGACATGACTTGAATTGTTAATGAATTGAAAGTTTTGTTATTTCCTCGTCATTTCAACCAATAAAATAAAAATATGGCACTAAAGAATAAGATTTTCTCTAGTCTTTGCTCATTAATTGATTTCAGATACTGCGTTTGACGCTTTCCTTAGAGCTAACAGAAAATTTCCAGCAAATTTATAGGCTACGATTGGCCTGGGCAGGTAAACAAATTGAGACGCTGGCCATTCCACTAAATTGAGCATTTAAAACATTCACTTTACTCCCAAAATTAATATCTTGAAATCAAGTAATTTTGGAGCAAGTTACTTACTTTGAGAGGTTTATAGACTTTGAAAGGCTCAGGGCCTCGGAAATCGGCTCACTAACCCTCTTCTTAGATTCCTAGATTACCCGGGTTCTCTCGATTACTCAGGAAAGCCACAATCTAAATTTTAGATTGCTAAATGTTTTGCGCTGACATTTTCAAGTCGTGAACGCTCGACCCCCCGAATCAACCGATAAGCACTGCAAGCCGTCTATTTCACAAGAGTTGTGTAAAAAAGCCTTGAATGTAAAAATTAATGACATAATTATTAAGTTGCTTTTGAATAACATATTGGCTGCCTTTAAAAGAAATGCCACGCTTCATTCTCTGGATACTCGCTTAACATCGCTAATTATTTGCTTACAAAAACTTTAATCAACATGAACGTGTAAAAGCACAAATGAGACCAATCCCTGACTAATTAACACATGGTGAAGTAACTTGCGAGTTGGGACAATGAAGAATATATTCGATCAAACAAGTGACGTGTTTCTCCTCCACAGGTCTGACGAATTACGCTGTACAACTTGATCATATCCTTCGTAAAGGAAAATTATGCAAATAATAGAGCAATGACGAAACCATTCATTTACAAAGAATACAGCACATACTACAACACACATTTTAACACCTAACAGCTTCATGCGAACATGATTACGAGCTAAGAATTGCACGCCATCCATAATACATTATTACAAAATCATTCTTTCAGGTCAAATTTGTTCGGTTTGCACGTGGAATACATAAATATTGCTTCAATATCATTTAACGAAAAAACGGTTTAGCAGCTCAGTTCCTAAAATATAGGCTTTTTGGATTGCTAATACAAAAATTCAATTTAAATAGGGCGGAGTTAGAAAAATGTTAAATTTCTTCCTTGGAAATCTTAAGATCCAAATGAGGCCAAAAAGAACTAAATAAAAATTTAAGACAAAACCAAATATCACATGATTTGATAATTAGAAAAAAGAAATAACATTTGTTATGGCACTTCAATTGGAAGAAAGACATGATTCGCTCAAGCTTTGTCCTTTATCTCGCATGCCTCTGAGCAATGTTTTACGATTGTAATTTGTTGCTAGATGCAAGCGTTTGAGCCAACCAACAGCTGTAAATGTCTCGCAGACCTGCAAACTTGAATGTGCAAGCTGTCTACTTGTTTGTCCTGTAGCCTGCTCTATGACGCTGTGAGCTTCGTCTGTTAGAACGTCACGTGACAAGCGTGTTCGCGACCTCGGTATCAATTTAGGCCTCGCTCGAATATCTGAATCTATACGTCTGGAGGCAATCGAAGCATCCGGTTCGCTTTCTTCACGTATTATGCGATTGTGGCTTCTGATATCTTCAGTAATGAAAAAGTGGTCTGGATTTGAATCCTGGTGTGCTACTAATGATTGTGGTCTATGGATATCAGGAAGGTGAACAGCGCCACAGCAACTACAGTTGCTGCATTCTTTGCATCTGCATTTAGAATTAATCAACACTTGGTTTTTTGTGTTCTTTAATTTTTGTCTCCTTTGCCAATTTGTATAGCCTTCATTGAAACTACGCTTCAGTTCTGAAGACGCTTTGCTGCTCATGACGCTCTCGAGGCTATTTGATCGCTTCAATGAAAGCTTTGCCTTCAAACTGTTATGTTTTCGGACAGGAGGCAATGACCGGTATGGTTTCTTAATGCCCTTTTGGTCATCAATTTTCAGTGTGCTTGAAATTTCGTCCCGCCTAGGCCACAGCCATTGACACTTTGCATCTATTTTACTTTTTTCAAGCTTAATTGCACTGTTTTGAATGTTTTCTCCGAACCCATTAACTTGAATTGGTGAGCCAACAACGGCCGCATGGCCAGTTTTGTCTACACTTGACAAAAGTACTGGAAAGTTTGGATCTAGTCGGTAATATGCAACTCGGTCACGTGCACGATCGCACCATTTTCTGACTTTCCCATAAATCGACAGACTCAGTCCCCCATACTGTTGTTTCCTGAATTGTTCAGCTATGAGCAATTTAAAGCATTCTCTTTGCCCGTATCTACGCGCTACGCCCGTAGGTGTACACCCATGTCCATCCTTAACAAGAATACACGCCCGGTTATGATGAATAAACAACCGAAGGCAGGATATTCTTCCAGTTTGTGCAGCAGCATGAGCTGGCGTTCTGAGACTCAGAGGGTGGGAGAACACGTTTTTACACCAAACTCTAGCTGGATGCTCGCCTACTGGATCGTCACACCGAGCGCCAGCTTTTAAAAGCTGTGACACGAGTTGAATGGAACCGGTAAAAGACGCGATGAACAAAGCAACCCGAAGCTGATATTTATGCAAAGATGGGTCTTCTGTACTGCTGATAATTGCATTCATAGTGGCAGTTACGTCACCAGCGAATGCAGACTGTAGCAGCTCGCCCATGCCATCCCAAATGTCAACATGAATTGTATCACCAATCATGACATCATAGTCATCAAGAGACCGGTTGTCGAAGAGTTCAATTCCGTTCGGTATTTTTGAAAGCCTTATAACACTAACCGGAATTCCAGATACATCTTGAATCATAGATTTAAACTCTCCAACATTTGTTTTTTCAACGTCCAGTGGTAAGGTGAAATCGTACGTTTTTTGGTCAAATGGGGTATATGCCCTCATAAATATCTTATCACGTGACTGCAAAAAGCACTGCAAAATGGAACCGGGTAAAATACCAATGTCGGAAAGAATCCAATCATCTTTCAATTGTGAACCGGAATATACAATTCTCAAGATCATATCCTCTGTGTCTCCCGAAGACTTAAGATTGAGGGAATAGTGGTCGATGAAAAACTCCTTTAGTGTTTTAACAGTATCATTTTCTCCAACCTCAACAACCAGTCGTTTTTTCTCGTACAGCAGCATCAACTTCATCGCGAAAGCTCACAAAAATCCAGCAAAAATAAACAGTCTATCAAATCGATTAAAGAAACGGGCGAATTTGTGGCAAAAATCAGTCACATCTTGGGTCAAATCGACATGACTAATAACTTCGGTTAATCGGGCAGATATTCGACAGGAAAGCTGTCAAGCCGGTACTGAATGATGAAACAGTCCTCGGTAAACAATATAATCACTGGAGACACTGTTCTTTAACGATTTATTAACATTCATCTATCTGACCTTCTCAAATCACACCGTACGTTTGACAGTACACTTAAATTATACTTCAGATTTTTAGGTGACGATCGACGTTTCTTTAATTTTCAAGACGGCGTTGAAAAACTCACGTACTCCCGTGCATCTTAAATAGTCCAGATGGAAAGACCGATCAGCATTAGCGTGATAATATTTGTACAATGATTTTATGCTCACAGATTCTATTAAATACAACAGCATGTCCCTCTCATAGGCGTTCTGCTGGCCTAATACACTTCATCCCAAACAGTTTGTTATCAATCATGGAGCTCGAGTGGTTTATCCTATAAGAATTCGCTTTGGAAACAACTTCCTTCTATCCTCGGAACTTCATCTGCTAAGTCGCCACGGAAACGTATACAGACTTCTAAAGATCTTATCGAGCAGAGAAAATCTCGTTAACGCAATGACGGGGGTCGGTGCGACAAGTTAGTTAGCAAACAGCCTTACGACTAATATACTCTTAAACAGTACGCTAACGTTGTTGAAAGCCCCGTGCTGCTGGAAAGCTTCTTTCAGCAGATGGTTTCGATGCGCCTGAATTGCAAAGAGTATTGTCTTTCTGATAATGCAAGAAAGAAACATACTATACCTTGCCATTGTGCATACGTTGTCGGTACGTTTAAAAAAACGGGTCACTACCTGAGTCTAGGTGTGCTGTCAACTGGATATACAGCAGCATAAAATGAGGGGCAGAACTGTCTGGCACAAACCGTCGATTTCTTCCTGTTGCAAAAATAATGAGCAGCGAGTTAGCAACAGAAGTTGAATCTTCATGAATAAAAAGAGCAATTGATCCACTTACATACGGAAAATCGATCAAAATGAATATTATTGGCTTATGTGTTTATGATTCAGACCACTATGTAAAGACTAGGCATTTAAAAAAGCCTGTTTTAAAAGCAGGTGTTTCCGCAGGTCTGTCGGTTGGTCGGAAATAGCCGAACACATCAAGGTGTTTTGCATACACGATCTTTCTTAAGAACCTCGCTCGGGTTGGTTATTTTCTTGCACTTTCTACTAACATTCGAAATGGTCAAGGCCTAAAATGCTCTTTGGTATCTGAAAATAAGCGTTGAAAAGCTCTTACAGTGATCTTCGTTCAAAATGATATACACTCTTTTTTAAAAGATCCAGTAAATTGAAGTTCAGGCTGGCTGTTCTTAAATTTTTCGAAAATCTGAGGCTGGATTGATCCTATTTTGTTTTTAAAATGTTAGGGTGTAAGCAGTGCAGTTTCTAGCTAATGCGCTCTAGGGATGTGTTTAGGTCAAGTTGGCCAAAAAGGTGAGTGAGACATCCTTTTTTTGCCAACAAATGTGAAAAATTAACCTTAGAAAACACCCCTGGATGGCAAAAAAATCCTCGTTTTGGAGGTGAAACTTTGTTCAAAATTACATTTTACAATAAGTCAGCCTCAGCTTGCTCCTAAGAAAGATGCAGAAGGCTTCCTACTTTACTCTCACAGTCTGAAAAATATTTTGTAGTCATTATTCACTAAGTTAATGAAGTATTTATATTTGACCACCTTAAAAAATCAGGCGAAATAGACCAGTTTTAGCGAATAATTTTGGTGCTTATTTTCTGTATACAAAAGTACATTAAATCTTCCATCGGCAGAAGCAAAAAACCGGTTGCTTGCTTCACAAAGAGCCCGCCATATGCTACTGATTCAAGAGACAGTTACTGTCTATGCAGTCAAGGTTTCAGTTCTTGCCGCTAGACAATCACGACCATGAATATTTATACTCGTCTTATCAAGATTTGGTAGTGGAAGTCTTTAAGCAATAGTCATTTTGAAAATAACGGAATCAACTGCGCTAATGTCCTTTCAAGTTGGAAGCCAGCGTTTAATCTAGACTATGATCTAGCCAAGCAGTTTGGAGAGGACAGGTAACTTAACAACATGGATTCAACCCTGCTTTTCAATTGCTTCTTAATGTCTACTATCTATATTTCAAGTTTCTCCCATTCTTTCGATCGAAGCCTTGCGTTTTGCTCACCTTCTCCACGAGAAGATATTTCAAAGTAATAAAACAAACCAACTAAATGCATGATTTGCCTCCATTAAATAAATTCATAAATAGAATAAAGGCTAATTTCCACGAGGCGAATTTCCACGAGGCGAATTTCCACGAGGCGAATTTCGCAGCGAAACCGCTGATGAAGGTATCAAGGCATGCGCAGTTTTGATTTTTGATTTCGCAGCGATTTCGCAAGATTGTAGAAAAGAGTTCTATTTTTTCGCGGCGAAATATTTCGCAGCACCTAATAACCAGTCAAAGCAAAAGTAAATTTTTTTGATTTCTAAGAAAACAATCTTGGAACATTCGCCATGCGTGCAGTTCTGAAAATGGGCGCCTTAGAGTTGGGTTTTGGGGGAAATCAATATATAATTTCGCAGCGAATTCACAGTCTCATGAAAATCAAAAGACAATTTCGATGAGAATTCGCAGCGAATTCGATGCAAAATTGGCCTCGTGGAAATCAGCCTTAAAAATTGTTATTTGACTGAGTACGGGACACGTCAAGTTACTATTTGACAACAATGATAATTCCATCTGATTTCGTATGGGTAGAGTTTGATATGGAAAAGAGGGCCTCAACATCATGGCCTTTTAAGCTTGAAGGGAAAATTTTTATAAAATAGATACAATTATCTATTATCTGAAACGTAAAATTTTCGGTGGCTAGATGGAGAATTGCCCCGTAGCAAGCATGCTAAAAATAAAAAACATGAAATGATTTTCAGGAAAAACAGGGCTGCATTCGTAGAGGCCATTGGAGGTCAAGGGATGCGAAGGGATGGCGTAATCCCGAACCCACACATTCTTCAATTCATATATCTCATTAATATCCCAAATACATATTGATTTCAGGAAAAGAGAGGCTTTGGAATATACAAAAAGGATCTTTCAAGAAGAACGCATTAAATTTAATTATATTATCTTTTATATTATATTAATTATAACAATAATTATATTATATTAGCCAAATATATTATCTTTTCAACATACTATAATCCTTATATGCATTCAAACATTCGGTTAATCAGCCCTTAAGGTTCTGAACGCAATGATGCTCCACAACAAATACACACAAGAAAAGGTTGGATAGAAAAAAAGAGCATGAAAATCACTGTATTAGTGTAGAAATTCGATTAAAAGATTTCTGCTCTCATTTCAAGAGCAACTGAAATCAATGTTTACATGAACTCTTCCTCATTGTTGACTATAGAATGGTGAGTCGTTAACACTATAGCACAGGTGACCATTCCAACAACAGGTTTTACCCTGCCAGGAGATATTGCGAAAATATTACTCTTTGAAAGTGAATAGACTAAAAGAAAAGTGTTATACAAAAAAGAAGTTTGAAGACGGGGGCAATGAAAGGTTGGGGTCTGAAAAGGAGGGCAACCGGGGCATGCTCCCAGCAATAGTCAGAGTTATCTTCCTTGACAAGTCTCACAGGCCGGCAGCTCAGGATAAATGCATCAATAGTTGTTGCGAATAATCTGTTAGACTAGAAGTGTATCAATGACAGGCTAGACTAATTTCACAGCAAAGCAATAAGAAAAATTAACAAAAAATTTCGCTAAGAGTTAAGTTTATTGATTACAAATTGCAGATTTTATGCTTACGAAATAAATATGGAAAACATCAGTTAACTCATATAGTTAAAGAATAATTTTTGAGTAAAAAAGTTGCCGTGAACTGTTGAGATGACTTTAAGTAGAAAGTTTTAAAATTATGAATAATCTCTAATTTTCATTAGAGGATGAGGCTCTTCTTGAAATATGTATGTGATATTTAAACCTTGATTTATAAGAAATAAAGAGGATTAATTGCTACTTTTAATTTTTTTAGGGGGTGTTTCTACATCAAAGATAAAATTATCAAAAGCTGTGAAAGCACTTTTTTACTTCCTGTATCTCATCAAAAGGCCTTTTATCGTTTTATCTCGAAAAACACTTTAAGAAAAGTAAAGTGTTTACATTTTAATTCATACACAGCATTGATTAAGTCCTAGTTATTTCTGTAAGATTGATCGGTGCAGTAAAATCGAATGAGTTATTTAACAGCTAATTAATGGAGCATTACTATTACTCTGAAGAGCAAGCTGTATTTAACATAAATCATAATGAAAACAGGTGTGTTTAAGAACAGCTAAAGGGCTTTGTCGTTTCAACAAAAACAGAATCCTCCATAAAGCAAGCAAGATTGCAGGGATCATATCGCAAGACTGATTTGATCTTATCGAGAATTAACAGGCGACACGAGTTTCAATACAGCGTAAATGTGGGTTAAAAGGCTGTGCAAGGTTTCCATTTACTTTCAGTTTCAAAAGGGAGGGTCTCCCACAATACATAAAGCGCGGAAGGCTAAAGAAAACATCGGTTATGTTCAGCTCGGGTGCAAAAGATGAAAAGGTAGAGATAAGTCTTACGCATTTAATGTTTTTAGACGTGTAATAAGCAAAGTGGTTAACAATTACATAAAGGATTCAGTGTTAGTTTTCCAGCTTCGTGAATAAAAGGCGAAATGTGATAGGAAATTGAAAGAACGTCTGAAGCGATGGTTGTGTGCAGCGCGTGTTTTAGACACCAAACAAGGTACTAGGATACTGTCGTCAAAAACAGGCAAAGCATTGACAATGAAATGCTTTGTCCAAATCCCTGTGGATGAATAAAACATATTTTCTCGACAGAACAGATCGATTCGGTTAATAATAAGGCTTTGAAATAAAGCGACTGGATGAGAAGATTACCAATAAATATTAGACTTGACTATTATGTTCTCACCTTGATCAAAACTTAGTTTTTATAATCGCTTTATGTGCATGCACCATAAAGAAATAGACGATGCGAATTTTGACATAAGAAAAACCGAACAGACCAACCATAGAAAATGTACCCTTCGACCTGACTCAACAAAAACGTGTCCTGTTCTTCTACCATGGGCTGACTCATCGAGGATTTTTTCTCAGTGATGATATGAGCAAAGTGATCCGCCTGGGCGGGGCAAACTAAGAATGAATTTTGTTGGAATATTGAATACGCCTTAAATTGTGGCGTGAAATCAATGGGGCAAGCCAGATAAGAAGCCTACTGCACTTTATTGAAACTTACTTATAAAAATGCAATCATTGCCTGACGTGAATAAAAACTGGAGTCAGGGCTTGGACCAGGCAAGCGGCCTGTTCTCTATCATTATTCATATCACAATTTTTAAAACTTTCAGAAAATGTTCGGCTGAGACGACGAAGAGATACAATGATAAAAATAATGACTTTACACATAAAAATTTACAATTTCTTGACAATTTTAATTCATCACTTTAAACACTATTTTGATTTTATATCAATGGTTGTTTTAAAACAACTAGAACTAAAAACAACTTTCATTCAATTACCACTATGTAATTCTAAATAATAACTATTTTTACTGTCAGCTATCATAAATTCTCATTTACTTGTTGTTAAGGAAGCAACTTTTTATTCATGCTCATAACAACTTACAATAGACACCATGTACAAAACGATACCACAGGGAGCAGGGAAGTGCATAACATCCCTGTAGTCATAAACCGTTTACTACAAGTCTCTTCAGTCTACCGTTCATTAAAGTCTGTCCAGAAAATCTGCAGAATGATGCAGGCTGTGAATTAGGATGTTGTGTAATTTTATGATATGTAACTTTTGTCAAATTAAAAGAAAGGCCACATAAAAAACTGATGCTTATATCCTCTCACATAGGCCATTGAGACAAGTACTGAAAAGTGACGCAGAACATACTCATGTGTGCAAACGGTTAAAGGGAAGCTTTATGAATAGGTCTTTCTCGTATACTTCTCAACAGATAAACACAATACCGTGCTTATGGAACAATCAGAATGCCTACATTCGATCAGGACATACGATCAGACTGCGCGTTATCGCGGCGCAAAGCGAGTTCGTCGAGATCAGTGGTACTAAGAATATTACTAAACAAAGTAAGCTTATCTTTTAATTGCTGACAGAGTTGCTGGGCTGTGTTGAACAAAATAATGATCTCTTTCAACCATGGAACTGTACATACAATCTAAGGAAGAAGTGAACCATTAATAACACTTAACACTGACGAAACAACGTGAATTGTGAGGTAGCTCGCTGCATATATTCATCAGCAATACATTCGAAGAGGAATCTATGGAATCTGCACAATGCACAATTCTAATCATATGTAACTGCGCAGCTGCACCTAAAATTCCGTTAGGGGTTAGGTTAAAACACGTGTGGTGTTAGGTTAAAACATTTTTAACAACAAATGTATCAGTCTAAATGAAAAAAGGGCTCTGGTGCTTCTTCGTCAACCTCTAGTTGGTCTCTGCTGAAATGCACTGATTGGTTCTTTTAATTAGAACTAATTGTGTCACTGAGCTTCCTAAACAAGTCTATTTTATTGGTCTTTGATCTTCAGCGATGAAAAATGTCAAATTTTGTTGGTCTGAGAAACATTTTTGGCCTTTTTTTTGCCACACATACACCATAAAATTACGGATATTGCCAATGTTGATATGTAATGTGTTAGAGGTTTTAGAATTACTAGAGACAACCTATTATCTATAGAAGTGTTCTTCTTTCAATTATAAAACTTTCAAAACTTAAAAAGATGATGAAAGCAAGGCCTGCTTTGGGTTTGGTAAATGATTTTGACACGCTTTCTTGAGGTCTCCAGGCATAAAATCATCACCTAATCATCAACGTGGCCTAAATAAACCCTTGGCAAGAAATATGATTCAGCAAGCATAACAGAATTCATTTTCACAGCAGAGCTGATCATCCAATTAAAACATCAAGATATTCAATCAAACTCTATGCCGTAAGCAAATAGAAGAATATTAGCTTATGAGTTTTGAAGCAAATATTTGACCTATAAGAGCGGTCTAAGTTTAAGAGGTGTGTCGTGAACAGGTTATCAAACTTAGGAGACATGTCGTTGATTTGTATTCATAGCCGAGAGGAAATCGTTACGCAGTTTGTTAGGGGTGGGTTGGAAAATAAACTCCTGGGCAACATGATAAACTCGGCTAATCCTGCCTTTATACAGAATTCCTTTAAAATGCCGTTATATACAGGGATATAGCTCTTTGGCGTTCATCATTCTCCAAGAAAATTGCGTAGCTGGTTTTTATAGGTAAAAGACTGCTCTAATCATTTGGGCGCCTAATGAAGGACCAAACTATCCTACTTTATCAGTAATAGACCAGGACTTCTGAAAAACGAGTAGAAAATGCGTTTATTATACACTTCGATTTCCAATCGCATCCTTTAAGAAAGAAGGATAATTTATCGCAAGTCAACTAAGAGTGAATAGAACATGAATGCCTTCAAATTACCTCAATCCTGTTTACAACTTCAAACCATCGTGAGCCAGATTCACTAAAATAGCAAAATATAATATTTTTCAATCCAAACAAAAAATTTTTAAAGAGAAATTCATTGAGTCGAATCATTCGAAACTAGAAACTTTGCTTCCTCTTAGATAACATTAGAGTCACAAACACACGCATTTTTTGCAAGAAACCGACCCATAACAAAAAACTATAGTACTGATCCTTTTTAAAATTTAACACAAATCTGCAGTAACTTTTTCATCCTTTCCAAGTTATGAGGCAATGTCTCTTTTGAAAAAAATGCTTGAGTCTGTGTCCTAAATAAGAATCTAGACGGAGATTATCCTATCTAGACGGATAACATATTCTTGCACTTTCATAAGAAATCTGCACCTGTTAAGGTTAGCGAAAAACTAAAAATCTTAGTACTTATTCTTAGTTTAGTTTCTTCCTGAAATGCGTGTACGTACCATTAGTTGAACAGAATAGTTTTTAAATGTCTACAACTTAGGAGACTTAATGATCTAAAAACATTATTTGAGTCTTGCTGCCTTCAGCTTCATGTCAAAAGTAGTTCACATCTGGGTGACTTTACTAAGAAAATTTTCATAATACCACGAGGTAAAAAACTTCTACATCCCATCCTTTTTCCGCTGCTAAGAAATGTAACAAAAAAATTAAAGTCGAAAACGATAAAATCATGACTTTAGTTGAAAACATGACTTGTCGTTGTGATGTCACAGCAGAAAGTAAGAAATAGCTAAACCACGGAGACCTTTTTCTGGCTTCAATCTGTTATGATTTTCCTTATGAAGCTAAAGCCAATTCCAAATCAGATTAAATATATCAACAAAATTCGCTAGCAAAATTAGTATTTAGAAACCTCAATGTAAAGAAAAATACACAATGACTCACAAAACATGGCCAATATTATTTGGATCTTGAGGTAAGTTTTTCTACAACAGAAAGGAAAAACGAATTATAAAATAAGTAGAAAGTCACAAATAAAGATAGAATAATTGGTGTCACGAATGTCACAATGGAGACGGTCAAGTTGAGGTTTTTCAGAAAAAAAGCTTTTGCTTCATTTCTGTCCGTCAGAAAAACGCGTATCGGTTTATGGTACAGTTTGATGTTATCCTGTACCGTCTTGTCTGACTATCTAGCAAAGTTGTTTATTGTATCGTGTAGCGAATTTAAGAGGCAATGGTGACCAGAAAAAAGAGTGGTTGCGTAATGAAGGCTTTTAAAACTATAAACTAACGTTATAAGACTTAGCAAATAAGTTTAAGAAATTAGGTCTTGTCTTTCTGTGTCGCCTGTAATGAACAGTCCTTTGTAGTTCAGAATGTCATTAAATTCAGTACGACTTGAAATAACTTCTTCTAAAAACTTTAACAGCTGGAGGTATGAGAATTCAAATGGCAAAGTAACCCTTCTTGAACCCTGCGATTTGCTGAATGATAAAAAGACGAATAATGCAAGTGGATGGCATGAGAATAACCCAATCTATTTTTAGTGTTAACGACGATAGGTTTAGGACATACCATCATTTTTCTATAAGTAACCAACTTTGCATTTTTTTTATAAGAAACTTTCGAAACCGCGCCCTAAGATGACCAAAATTAATCCATAGTGGTAAACCTTAAGCAATGGCTGGAAAAATGTTCTTATTAAGATGAAGTGGAAATAATTCTTTCGCAATTAGGTACCTACTTCCCGTCTGATTGAAAAATATTCATAGAAAGAAGAGCTTATTGTGACTTATAACGTACTCTAACTAACGCCATCTTGAGTTACGTTTTTATGTCTTCTAAATAGTAGCTTTTCAAAGTTTGGTTTTTAAGAACCTTAAGGAGCTCTTCATTATAAACGTCAAGCAATGGGCTCAACAAAAAATCAAGAAACTGAATGAAATGAGCGTATAATCTCCTTAGAGATAAATGACAATAATCTTACAATATTCACATGGATGCTTCTCAAAGTTTAAACAAGGTATAGTTTTAGTTTTTTCCGGATTGAGATGTTGAAGCAAATTGCCTTTTCCGGATTTATTAGCGGATGCTTCCTTGTTTACATGTGAATTTTGAAACATTTCATTGACAAAATCCTTTAGGAAAAGACGCTTACTCTACCCCTATGGAAATCAATTTCTATTTTCAAAATAAGACACAAATAAATACTGAGAAGAAAGATGCAGCAGTGGGAGAAAAATAATTGGTTTTTAAGAAAATTCTTGGAAAGAAAATTAGAAAAGTTGCAATGCTTAATTTACACGTCCCGTTTAACGCGTTCAGAATCGATTAGGATTGTGATGGACAAAAGCCAAACAAAAGCGCGTAAGGAAATCTGGTTAGATTCAAACTTCGTACATCCTCCATGCATTGTAACTCTGTTTTAGTGTTCCTTCGAATGATGCTACTGCGCATTCGCTAGAATCGCAAATTGCACTGGGGGGGGGGGGGGGGTTAACTTGATTTGAATTGATCTGATCCATCAGAATCACAATGTTTAAATCCAAGTAGCGCTTTGGTCAGTTAGTGTGACTGAGATTTTGTCACGCTATAAATTTGGCTTAAGCTTAATTTAAAATTTACAAAATTAACTCGCCTTTTCTCAAACTTAATTAATATCTACAGGGTTCAAAACAATATAATTGATTTGATGTGATTTGAGCACGACTTATAAACTTGCCCTAAGATACAACTTAAAAAACATTTTTCAATAAATTTAAAATGTGGGTTATTAATCTAAGACTTACTAAGTTTGACGGAGGTCCTGTTAAACAGTTTAGTACATAGGCACAAAACACAAGTTTGTCACAATTGACGTGAAAATTGACCAGTACCTCGTCGGGCAATGGTGGGTTTAAAACACGCTAGGAAAGAAAAAGTATTGTTCATAAAGTGCACCATTTCAAAAAAATGATTACCAACATTAATCTCTACCCCGAAACTCTAGGAAAAACATTCCACTATCAATAATTGGTCCTACAAACAAAATGCGCCATTTCTTAGCTTCAAGTTTATATTTCCTAATAATTTTTCTAGTCTTTCTCAATCTTTCAAGTCTATTTTATCTAATAATTTCTCGCAAAAATGTCATCGTCAAGCTTCTTCGACATTATCACATATTTCTGCACACAGTAAAAAGATTTTACGCATATTGTAAATATTGTTGAAATTGGAGAAGATAACAAACTTTGAAAATTGATAAAGATTAAAAAGACTGCCGGTTTTACTTGATTGTTGATAAAATTTATTGTTGATAAAATTTAAACCAATGATTCCCCTAAATTTATACAATTTGTCTCATTTTATTCAATTCAATAGTTTACACAAAACTGTATGCTGCGTGCTAGTTTTCAGTAGAAAAACAGAGTAGCCTAAACGATTAGAAATATATATATATATAAGTGACTGAGAGCCAGAAAACCTCGTGATTGCCATTTGTAACTGATAAAAATCTAAATCGAAAAAACTCTTTAAACCATAGAGATCTAAACAACCAATTAACAAAATTTTAAACTGGTTTTAGCATAGTTGCAATGCTGGACAAAAAGACTTTTCAAGAAAACTTGATACTTTCTCTTTCCTTCGCAAAAAAATTGCCCTTTCCCACGATTAAATATTGAATGCATGATTTTGAAGCAGAAATGATAGAACTGGAAATCCAACACTGATTCAAAAAAAAGGGGGTTCCAATTTCGTCGGGCAACATGAAGTACGAAATTGCAAAAATTGCATTTTGTCTCAATAGTTTTGTCGCGGATTGTAAACTTCAACTGTAGCTAAAAGCTCTTTAAATTTTAGATTAACACTACGAGCAAGTTTTGACAGATCGTACCCCACCTGCATACCACTGGATATCAAATGAGGCAATGGTTGTTTCGGTGGCACTAAGAGCAGAGATTTCCCACGACTCAAACTGCACATAATGCTCTCCATTAGCTTAAAAATAAAAATATTCTTGATATACAATATATATTGAAAGAAGGAAAGCGAGAATGAAGCAAAGTATATTAATATTTATGTCATTTCAGATGGTTGATTTTGTTGCATTGTATTTGAGTAGGGAAATAATAGGTCATAGATATAATGAACAAAGGACTGAATAAATAAATGAATTGATGAACAAATAAAAGCATAAAAATGAATGAATGAATAAAAGTGAATGAATGAATAAAAGTGAATGAATAAATAAAAGTGAATGAATGAATGAATGTAAATGAATGAATGAATGAATGAATGAATGAATGAATGAATGAATGAATGAATGAATGAATGAATGAATGAATGAATGAATGAATCAATGAATCAATGAATGTAGTTAGTTAGTTACAGCAAGAACACTACACTTATCCAAGTTTACAAGTAACAAAGTTTGGTTCCATAAAGGGCATCAAAATGAACAATTTTTTTACTGTTTCATTCATTAAAAATCAAGTTATTCGATATATTTTAATTCATTTTCTACTTTGACCTCCTATCCTTTGTCTTCTTATTATTTTTCTTGTTTGTATTCTTCTCTTTTCTCTCCTCATTCTTCAAATTCTGCTTCCACTTAATAAGCATATTCTTCATCTGCTTTTTCTTATTCTTTCTCTCTTTTTGCTTTAAATCAGATTTCTCAAATACCTTCATTTTTGAATTTAAGTAACTTCGGGTATGGTTATCATATAATGTAACGTAACGTGACTTTTTCAACTGGGTATTATTTATTAAACAAAAGGGTGGGGCAGGGTGTGGCTTGATGGGGCTTGATGAAAAAAGGGGGATAATAGCAAAATTTAAAAGGGCTAGCTATTGGCATTTTATCTAATTTTCTTTTTGGTTCGGTTGGCAAGTACTGCACTGTCAGGGCATTACTATGATGAAAACGATATTTTGCTAAAGAACCCAACGCAAATACCCTCTACGAACTTATTCATTGCATCAAATTACCACTAGCACCATAATTAAAAGCAAAGAATCGAACCTAAATTTCTTGTTGAGACCACCCCTAATCTAAAACCTCACGGCTGGTCCTTGCCATCACTTTGGCTCTATAAACACTTATTGTCTATTTCACAACCCCTTTCCCATACTTGTTGTTGCATAAGCACTGAGACTGTGAAATGTAGACGAACTGTAATGCCCAATTATGCCTATACACCCGAAGGCCTTCTTAACGTATGAGCTAGAAAGAAACTGTACCCCAAGCCCGCTAGATCCTTCTTTGTAAGCGAAAATACCATATTATTTCTATTCTATAAGACTTGATCTTTGAAGCTGTAGTCCCGAAGAAGGTAATTTAATGTTCACAGGTAAAGCTGTATTTGTCTCGTTTGCATCAAAGTGATGAGATACAGGACTACACAGAAACGAGGATCAGGCACCTACCTGGTTTATTTCTTGACCAGATGTGAAAATACCACCAACCTCCCTTTCATTCACTTCTTCAAGGGCAAGTATCAGATGGTTGTGCGCATCTTGTAGCTGAAGGCGACAAAATTTTTCTAAATGCAAAACTCAAATTTTTCAAATGCCAGCAGAGAAATTTGTTCAAAAACACAATGTTTTGAGCTGTATGCCAAAAGGCACATGAAAAGAACAAGTAATTTAGTAAAGAAGTGAAAACATATGAAATAATTATGGAAATATAGCATACCTGCTGGAGTTTCCAGGGAAATTGGTCAAAAATGAAAGTTCCAAAAGTACCATTTGAAAGCTTCGGAATTTTGAATTTTAAATCCTAGAAACAAAATTTAACTTTAGTTTTATGTAATTTATGGTTACCATGAAATGAAAAGAGCAATTGAATGTAAAAAATTATCTTTCTATTATCGACAAAAAATAAAGGTAGGCCTTGTTCAACTTATTATCTAGATACAATTATAGATTACAATACTTTAGTAAATTTGCTTCTTGAAAATATTTCTAAAAACACGTGCAATGATTCAGTCATAAATTGTTAACATTGTCTAAAATACTTTGCAGCCCATATGCAACTTTCTCAGTGAGTTTATTAGCACACTTTGAGCTGAGTTGATAATAGTTGATGATTACAATTGATAGAGAACAAAGTCATTAAATTACAAATCATAACCGAAACATGGTCAAATAATGCAAGGATGCAAATTGCACGGGATGAAAAATACCACAAAGGATTTTGCACCAGAAAGGCTACGGAGATACCAAGATGCAAGGAAGGACTTGTGTCGAAGGTCATGATATTCATTGCTCAGTTCCGTAATAGACTATTTGCTAACCCAAAAGTCTCTTACTGAACCAAGACTTTGAATCTTGTTTGCAGGTTAGCCCTAACAGATGGTAGCAGCTCGACCACAAAAGGATCAATGTATCATAGGTGCAAATGTGGGTCAACAATTATAGAAAGTTGCTTAAATAATTTAACTTGAAACTGCTCTTGAAGGCGGTTCGACTACCTTTTATAAGAGCAGAGTGTTGGACAGAATATTAAAGTGTCTATGCAGCGAAATTTTACTTCCCGTTTTTTTAAGAGTTATATTTTCCCATCTTTTCTAATACGCTTGACACCAAAATCAAAATCATAATCATAATCATACGCTTGACAGAATAATTTGACCAGCGAAAGTGTGTTTAATCAAAGTTTGAAATTATGTAGTACTTGCGAAAACCAAGGGTCAACAGCAATCAGGAAACTGTGGTTGTACTTAATAGGCAATCGTTTAGTGCGATCGTATAAAAGTCGGTTTTGTCTGTTGATTTTTAAATATTTGAGTGTACATCGAAACAACGATAGGCACTGATAGTAAATAAACAATCGATCGAGAAATGTGTCTTTTCTGACCTTTTCCAAACCCAGCGAGTCCTATTTAACGTGTCGAGAACACAGAGCCAGATAGAGAGAGAGAGAGAGAGACAGTGTGTTATCTGTAGAATTCTGATCTGAACTAAACTAAAATTACTTACAAATTAACATGCTTACATATAAAAATCAAAATGCTAATTATGGATCAGTTAGGATGACGAAAGGATGATGCAATGTGATAAAGAGAGATCTAGGCATAGAACGAGAGACGTTGATTCAGCTTGATTTAGCTGAGTGAAGCTGTAAGGGGGGCTTAAGGGGGTATCAAATTTCTTTTTTCCGCAAGAAAATTTACCTATAACCGTAATTCCGAAAGAATATTTTGATATTACCGTAATACCGAGTTTTCAAAATTAAAATAACCGAATACATTACAGTTTGAATTTTAATTAATTTTATTGAAGTTTCGAGTAAGTTCTGGGGAAATCGTCAAGATTGAAGCACGTAATATATGCCCATATATCAGAGGAAAGTTTATAATAACAAATCCAAAACTTGTGCACCCAAGAAATATGAAGCTCGTTTAGGACCCTTTTTCTTCAATCTTTCTAACATAAATTCTCTGAAAATTTCACCATATTTAGCTGGCTTTTCACTCTGACAATTTACCCTTCAGAGTCTTCTTGATGGATACAACTGGTTTTTCCCTAGTGCTTAGAAGCTTAGTAGTATTTTCGGTTGCTAAACAGTTTAGTGTTTGCAGTTTCACTAAATTTATCTATGATAGCATATTTTTTTACTAGATGTGAAATCACACTTTGCCTATGAATCCCAGGGAAGTAGCGCTAGGGGGAGAGGGGTCTATGGGAAGCTGAGAAATGAGCTAACGAAAGATTTAATAGTCCCTTAAAAATTAATGTAATCCTCGACGGCTCATTATTTTCAGATCCCCCATCTTATCTTACAAATACTTAAATGACGCAGTACAAAAAAGTTAATTTCAAGCATAATTTCAAGTCTATTCAAGCATAATTTTTCATGGCAATATGTTTCTGAAATTGGCAATCAAATTCCATGCTAAATCAAAACATATATAATATTCAAGCAGTTACGTGCTATCACTCTATAATTCTGACAGCTAAATCGAATCCAAAATAATTGCAAGGATAAATGGAAATAGAGTTGATCTAGCTTATGCCTACAATCGGAAATACTTTTATCTGTCCTTTATTCGTCGAAACAAATCATCAATACGAGGAATCTAAGAAAATATCCATGTGGAACACCAAAATCTAATTCTTCCATTTGTGACGTAGCGCAATTTTTTGAAACAAACCTTTGACTCCAGAGACTATAGAAGGAACTGAAACAACCCAAATTTATTTCCACTTTTAAACTAGAAATATATTTTTTTCTCTTTCTTGAGGCCGTTGAACGCTTTCATGTCCAATTAAAAAGTGCTGTTGTGCTATGCTGATGGCTTTATATAGGACAGAAGCAGTTAGCAGCAGCACCCCGTTAAGAAAAAGGGGGTTAGGGCTCAGTTTTGAGCAAATCCTATACAACAAAGTTCTAAGGTGGGCATTCCTACATATTATCCTTCACATCATTCCTTCATACATCCGTGTTGATCTTTTGTAATACAGAAAGGGTGTTGTTTTTTCCTCGTATTACGATTTTCCTGGTATGGATGTATTTTATTAATACTGTGCTGCTTTCGAAGCAAAAATGAAAACATGTGACCCATTATTGCACAGTAGATTTCAAATTAAGTTGCTTTTGACAAACGGGGGACCCATCCTAAGTTTCCCCACCTGAAGTCGCGTTTACTTTAATATATGACGTGTTGTATATGACAAATGGGAAAAACGATAAAAGTGTCGGTATAGTTGGCTCCTTTGAATCTGGTTATATTAGTCATCTGAGATTATGAGGAAAACAAAGAGGAAAAAAGTAATTATGAAAATTCCGAAATTAAGTCATGTACATTTGCAGTCGCAACTTGAGAATTTTTCAACCAAGGGTAACGCCATTTAAAATGGAGAGAATGAAAAATTTGGAATTTTATCGGCAAAAAATCACGAAGGTTACAACATGGATAGAACAAGATATTACCGCTAGCATTTCGCCCACATTTCTAATTAAACTGATTCAGAACTGGCCAATATCGCACACTGGGCATTGAATTCACCAAAATTTCTGTGACAGAAAGTGAATCGGAGGAGGACTACGGAGTTTTAAATTTAGGTACGGACGATCTGGGAACCAATAATTTAGAATGCATTTAGAAATCAGTTGCATGCATATGCCTGTGTGTTCAAAACCAAGGCATATCCTTGGTTGCCTATCATTTTGGCATGACCAACGAGCAGTTTTCCTTTTTATCACCAATGGCATGTGAATGAGGGGCCCAATCCCAAAAGAATTATGAAAATCCTTTGTTCTAGTCTAAAAATAGCAAAAGGGTACATTTTTCACTTTGAGTCCATATCCTATCTTTTTTGCGTATAAAACTTTCTTTTGTTTCAGTGTTTCACGCTGTGGTACCAAAGTGAGACTGAGAGACGATATTACCGTCTGTAATTGTCTGTGACAAGGTGCCCCACTCTAAAAATTGAACAATTTTCAGGGGGCAATTTTCAGTCGGGTCCATATCCTTTCTTTTTCAGCGTATCAAACTGCCCCTTATTGCAACGTTTTATGCTATTATACTTAATACTGGGATACGATAATACCGTCAATAAAGATCTAGGGCAAAAAACCCAGTCTAAAAATAGAAAAGGGGGCAAATTTCAGTCGGGGTCTATATCCTATAGTTTTTAGCGCATCAGATTGTCACTTGTTATAAAGTTTCATGTTATTGTATTTACTAACAGCAGAGATATCGTACTATCGCTGCTAGAGTCTGGAGGCAAAGTACCCCAGCTAAAAATAGCTGAAGGTGGCAATTTTCAGTGGGGGTCCATATCCGTTCTTTTTCGGCCTATCAAACTTTCTTTGTTGCATAGTTTATGCTAGTATCACCATTTGCACAATTCGACGTAATAAATGATTTAACAGACCTGACTAAACGGTTTCGCCTCGACTCATCACTGTGACGTCACAGCGGGAAATAAAATATAGCAATGCAACTGCAAAATGTGCATACATTGACACTCAATAAAAAACCATTTCTTTTATTGATATAAATTTCTTTTAAAATATTGGAATGGTAAATTTCGCTGCATAGGCACTTTCTAGAAAAGCTAAAAAAAACAAATTCTAGAAAAGATGAGATATAGGCGCTAAGGTTTTCTCCAAGCAATTTGATGTAATTGCGCCAGAACTATAGGCTAAACAATTAAATGTAATACTCCTAACAGTAAGAGTTGTAAGAACAAAAGTTTCTGAAAAGTGGAACCCAAAATCATAAAAACAAATATTTTATTTTACACCAGGCGGAGAATGGGGGTAAGGTCCCCCCTCGGGGATCTAATTCTAATTAGGTGGGTTTTGGTAATTTTGGGGTGCTGATTCCGAAAATCAATGTTATACAAGCAACTTGGGGGCCTCCAGCCTCTATTTCATGTCAAAGTCTCGTTTTCAATCAAAATAGAGGCAGCTGCTTTTTAAGGATCCACCCTTCGGTGAAGTCTCTAAAATTCATTGGATCTAGATAATTTTAGGACGCTGATTCCAAAATTCGTTATTATAAGTACGTATAAAGGGGCGTTTGGCCTCAATTCCATGTTTAAATCTTGATTTTACGCAAAAAGGACAAAAAAGGCCTGATAAGATTCCACCCAATTAAGAAATTTTTCCAAATTTAGCGCAATAGGGTAAATGCGGTGTACTGATTCTAAGGCCTTTTGGAGGTCTTTTTGGCTCGGCTTCCTAACAAAGTCTCTTATTCAAAAAACGCTCTTGACCATTAGCCGCTATTTAATTCAACTATACTATAAATAATCTATCATAAATTAAATCAGTTTCCTTCAATCTATAAATAGAAAATGTATCTTTAATAAATTTATTATTATGACGCATCGTACAAATCAATGGTATCTTTATTAAGATCGTTTTCTCTATCATTGCCGTCAATTAGATTTGCCCCGTCGTTATCATAGGTAGACAAAGTTTCGTTAATCAGCAGCTCTGCGACACCGTCTGGGTAGCATTGTATTGTAGATTATTTAACGTTAGTTTTTACAATAGTGCATATACACTAATTAAGACTAACATGAAGCAATTTCAAGGATTGCATAAGACAGCTCATTTACTGCAAAACGAGCATGCGCACTTGTTTTCAAGGAACCAAGATTTGATCAAATTCTTAAATTGTCTAATATTTTGTGCTGTCTTTATTGATTCCGGAGTGATTTCCAGATTTTAGGCCCTTGAAAACTTAATGATCTGATACCATTATTCTGGTAGTTCTAGCTTTTAGAATGTCAAGGGGGTTTTTGAGTCGAAGGTTATGACCTGTTTTTTGGCAGTTCCTTGATAATGATTGTTTTGAAAATTTAATTTGAAGAGGAAATTCGAAGAAGACACCATCTTGGGTTTTCACAATTTTATAAAAACAGCTGCTCTAGTTGATGCTAAACTAATCTTTTTTTAAATAATTTTTGGTGTTCAGTTTGCTTTAGATTTATGTCCAACGCCCTTTTGAAAATCATGAAGTTTTTCGAGGGTTTGACATCTATTTTTCGTTTTCGTGAAGTAAACAAAGACGTATGAAAATGGACACGTGATAGAACGGGTACAGCAAAAATCGATTGTGATAAAGGATTCGTACAGCGATGTACCGGCGATAATCATGACAATCATAACTTTTGCTCGTACGGTCTCGAGTTTTTGGGAGAAAGGTGTGGCATTCGACTGGTTTTGATTCCCAAAACCTCGAATCAAAACTTCCATCCATTGCGGAGAACCGAGCTGTGATGCAGCACCGTTTTCGTGCCAAAAAAACCGAAGGCCTGTAGCAGAGTCTTGGCAGAGCAACGCTCCGAAGATAATTGCCTTCCGCACAAAGAGGTGGCGCTTAACGACCTCCACAACAAAGCCGATTGATTGACACTGAAATTGATTGACAGTTGTCATGGCAGCAGAAAAGTGACTAAATCTGCTGACAAAGTGCTGACAACATGAACTGAAGCTTCCATATGCTACTTATACGCGGGGCAGACTATAAGCCCTTCACTCGCGCGCTGTCGCGCGCGAGTTGCGGGCAAAAATATTTCCAATCCCTTCACAACTTTTTCGGTTACTTCAAGCGTGGTCCCCAGATTTGCAGATATATTAACGTAATCCGTCTTTTTACCATTTTTCTCTAAAAAGCTATTTTCCCTTTTCAAAAAATAGAAACAATAGTAATTTCCTGAAAAGGCAAGAAGACCGATTAGTGCTCTTCTCTTTTCGACGTCCAGTGTTGAAGACTCTTCGCCTTCTATTAACTTTCTCCTCATCAATGCTTTTGCATAAGTGAATCTCTGATAGCATCCTCGATCGTAGAAAAACTCATTATGGTCAACATTTTGTGCAAGGTTCTCGCATTGTTTTCTGTGATAATTCTTTCCATCAAGGTTTTGGTGAATTTTGCTGTACCCAATCAAAGATTAAAATTAAAACGCTTTCTTTAACGAGATTTTCGGACTTGCTTACTGATTCATAGTGAGCGATACAAGTTCCTTTAGCTGCCATTTATGTTGATCGCAATCACCATTTCACAAAAAGAATCTGACGATCTTGAGATGTGCATTACGTTACCAACAGCAAATATGAATCACTGGAGTTTCAATTGCTTTCAAATTAGGTGTTACAATTTGGTGTACTGTAATGTGATGTAATGTCAGATACTTTGTTATGAAGTGGACCCAAAAAGACCCCCAAAAAGCCTAAAAACATTATTTTTATAATCAGTCCACCACAATTACCTTACACTGGTCTATTTGACTTTCGAGTATTTATATATCAAGAAAAGAGATTCACTGAAAAAATGTGACCAAAAGACAAAATAACAAAAATTAATAAACTTATTAAAAATAGAAAAGATAGAAAAGCAAAAAAACAACAGGAAATTTATCTACATTGGAAAAAGGTTTTGGCTAAGACGAGAGAACAGTTGTCTTATCAATACGCGATGCAAAAATTGTCAATAGAGGGCTTAAAATTTCACAGATTGTTTCTGGAGTGGATCAAAAAACCCAGCTTATGTGAAACACCAGTGCAATAGTAAGATATGAGTGACATCTAATTGTTTATAGCTAAAAATTCCTTTTTCTTTTATAACTGTTCCAGAAATCAGCTAAGATGGAATACCGAAAATGGCTATAATAAGGCAGTTTAGATAACAATCAACCTTGATGCTGTGAGCTGCAATTAGTTTACTGATTTACGATGTAACACTCTAAGGAATTGGTACAAAGCTAAGGTTCTTTTTTATATGCTTTTCACCGCAAATGATTAGCAAAACCTCCAAACAAGTGTTGAACAATAAGCAAACAACCGTATGCAATCCAACAATTTAAATGCATATTAACTGCACTCTGATAGCAATGCTGAAATTAACTTTTCGATAAAAAAGCCTTTTGATTTTGATGAAAGTAAAAGGAATATAAGATAAAAAAATGGAAAAGGGAACATCGTCTTTTATAGTTTTTTTTGTCAAAAATACTCTCAATCTACTATGGATCTTCTTGAAATTGAAAAATAAAATAAAATTTTCATAAAGATCTTTTATAATCTAAAACAATAAACTCCACACCTAATAAATATTAAGCCTTCAAGAAATTGGGCTCATTTAGGCAAATCTTACGAGAGTTAACAACTTCTCTAATCAAAAAATAATTCAAGTTTTTTTTACGATTTCAAAAAAATTAAGATCCTTGCAATAACTCTGACATAATCATTTCACAGTGTAGGTTATGAGTCGCTGTTAACGGGGACCTTTAACATGAATGGAATAGAAATATTAATTAAGAATTCTGTTGAAATGCAGAAGATGGATTCCAATAAATGTGAAGACCACAACTAAAACGTTTTAAAAAGATCAAATATAATGGTACCACAATTAAAACTTTAAATGAGTTTTCGCAACGTAGTTCACATTGACCTAATGTAGTCAGAATTGATACCAGGGGGTTTGAACTTTGGAAATTTTGAATTTTTTGAATGATTAAAATTCACGAGACGGATTAGACAACGCTAAATTCAAAGCTGCATGATTCTTATTCTCCATTGTGATTTTTGGTAGAGGAGATTTTTCAAGAATTCTTATAAGCAATAAAAAGGGCTTTAAACAAAATTCCTTTACATACAATATTTACTGTTCTTTAGTGTACAATATTTACTGTTCTTGATTTCTTTATTTAAATTTTAGTTCTGTTATTCCAGTTAGTCTTGATTTAATTGTACTTAGTAGAATTTTAAAGAGAAATGAAACTGAAGGCAAAATGAAAATTACATGCATTGTCAGATGGTTCTGAAGATAGAGATGACCATAAGTGATGCGAATCAAGAGTTTAGTATGGCCACACAAAACCCATAAAAATTACGAAAAATAAAGGAAACGTGCAACTTAAAACCATTTTATATCATTTGTTTGAAGTGAGATTCTTTGTGTGATCTCCTTGAATCTCGAACTATTGTGATAAAATGTGATAATGTGTTAAAAAGACAGAAAATGTGTTAAAAGGCAAAAAGACTAAAGGACTAGAGAAATACAATTGTCACTTACTGCCTTGACAACACTGTCCCCAGCAATGCTAATAAGACCCTTGACGATGTCAGAGCTATAATAAAACAATCAGTTATAAGCTAAGCTATATACTTATTGCAAGCACTTTCTAGTGCCTTGATGCAAGAAAGTTCCCTTTGAACTATAGCTTGGTTTTGAGAAATGACATGCTTTAAGATTTCACAACAATTGTAGCTACAGGATTAGAAGAAAAACACGAATCTAATGTCATTCTGATACCTAATCTCTATGAGAACAGGTTTTCTTATATTTACAAGGATGAGATTTGCTAGGTTTTCGTATCTCTCAAATAAACTAGACGAAGAAATGCACAAAGTCTAACGAGAAAGGATACATGAACGACATGAACAAGAGCAGGATATTATTCAGTCAAGAAATAAATCTAAAGTTGCTCTTATGCAAGCAAAAAGAATGAACTTTTGAACAGCTTTTGTGAGCCAGTTGCAAACGTTTCATTGGGTCACTTTTACTGGAGATAAGAGGGGGATGATGTCTCCCAGTTCGCGAAAATTGCGACCATATGCAATACTAACAACAATTAATGAATGTAAGACATATGTAAAATGGGAACGAAATTCCCTATTGTAATGTTATTTCGTTTAAAATGTAAGAATTTTTCCAAAAAATATTAAAAGAACAAAGGACCTTTATCATAACCTTGGAACAGAAGGGAAATTGCACAAACTATGGAAAAATTAATTGATTATATGAGGGTATGTAACTGGGCCAACAGTAGTGTCCGTAAGGCTATTAAAACACAGGCACATGTAGCACAAACGAAAGACAGTGATAAAACAGTTATAAGCCAAACAAAGACTCAAGCTTGAGGCAGAAAACAACTTTGTTCACTAATCTCAGCTTATCAAGGCATGAATAACGTTAAGCAAGTCCCTTATTTGTTTGAGTGCAGGCCCTCCTGAATGCTGTTGTCTTTGATCTCAAAGCATTTTCTTTAAAGCTGAATATATTTCATTGAGAATTGATATAGCATAGATCGCCGGTAGATATTATTGTACATTCAGCTATCAAAGATGAGCCACTTTGAAATGCGAAACAAAACAAATTGTCCCTAAGAGAATAAATGTTTATGATATTTGGCAAAGTTTAAGCAGATTAAAATGTTATAATGTATGCCTCTTAGTACGTCTAGCGGCCTATTTTCAATTTTGTTGCCGAATATTATTATAAAACGGAGCATAAAATAACGTCCATGAAAGACTGTACAATGCGGCCATGAAAAACCTTTTACATAGTATTTATAATTGCGGTAGCAGATTCGCCAGATATCAGCCACTGAATGTCACAATGAAACATTTAGCTCACTTAAGACGGTTCTCTTGCAAGCCACAAGTAAGGCAAAAACATTTGAGCGCAACACTGCTCGGTCTAAGTGGTAATCATACCAGAGCTGCAAGGTCCTTTGTGTGAAATTTCAACTAAGCAGTGTAGAAATCTGCTACAAAACAGGAAGAACCCATCAAATAATCAAAATTTTACTTATTTTTAGGGATTGGTCCGCCCTTGTAGCATTAACGACTAATCGACTTGCAAAAATCAAGTTAGAAGGGGTTTAGCAATTTGCAAAGAGACATTACAGATAGAATTCACTGGTTAAAAACCAGGTTTGAAGGCCACATTCTCGCTCCTGGCTAAAACATTTGGATTTTCACAGTTCTTGTTTTGAAATAAATTTTTTTGGAAGTACTTCAACTTTCGATAGGTCCTTCAATTCGTAAGAAACAAAAGTGCATATTTCGTTTTTGGATAGTTAATGGATTTCCAATATTGACTAATTTTGTGGTTAATCAATGAAATAAAACTATCAGTCTTATAAAAACCACGTATTATCTAAACAAGGTTAATTTTGAGGCTTTTCTCCTCATTGCCAAAATTTTAGATGCAGTTTTAACACGATAGGTTTATGAGTAAACTGAAACCAGTTGACAATAACAGGGCGGGCCAAAGAAGCAATAGAATCTAGCAGTCATGAATCATAAAGCAGACAGATAGTAAGTTAAAGGGATGCACCCTTTTTATAAAGATCGTATACGGAGCCCTGGCTCATCTTACCTAGCTTCTACGTAAGATTTACTATTCTTAGCTATGATTTCTTGAAATTAAAACAGGCAAACCAAAATACTTAAACTGAATGGGCAATTGTTCTTGTCCTTAAGGATATCTTACTGTTTAGGTCAAAAGGTAGTTTTACGGAGATTACTTGCTTAACAAAACGTCTTCTGTAGGTCTTGATCTTATAGATAGCTGATCTAAAATTTGCTGCAAATGTCATTTTGGGTTAACGGATAATTTTGAGTCAAGCTATCTCTGATTTTATTACAGATGATAGCTAACTTCTTGAAAAGTCATACAAGTGTTAAAAATTTCCAAAATTCAAAAACTTTGACTTCGCTATTCAACCATAATTCCCTAGATAAAACCAGGTTCAACACTAAAAATCTAGTAGCGTCGTATATTATGGGTCACTTAACATCAGCCAACTTTGTCTGTAAACTGAAGATTGCGTTTTAAATAAGGACAGAGATTGTGATTTAAGCTTGGAATTAGGTCTGCTCAAATAGTTTCGTATTGTAATCAAGATCCTGTAATGTTATAATTATCATTTTTGATCCAACCTTTTCTCTTTAAAGTTGTCAAACATGAACTGCCCTTTTATTCTAGATGTCCAAATCACAATTTATACTCCAACTAATATCCACTGCCAACGAGTAAAGTATAGACTTTGACCGCGAAATTCCAAATTTTTACTGAGGAAAATAGATTCTTCCCATTGGCACTCGTTTATATCGTACTTGAAGTCTCCATCAATTGCCACTTCGATACACAAATCACAAATCAAATCAACAAATCAAAAATCAAATCAACAAATCACAAATCAACAGCACAAATCCACGGCAAGGCTTTGTATTACAAAGGAAGTTGCAAAAATTGAGACAAGAAGCTGTTAACTTACTTTGGGAGTGATAATAGAAAATTGTCTGCCTTATACACATTCCCCGGTGAAATCCTTTCTGTGATAAAGAATAAGAATCATTTATTTGAATTTAAATGTATTCTGTATGGTAACTAAAATAAAAAGTGCAAAAATCAGGCTTCCATTTATTTAAATCAAAATATGTTAAAGAAAATTACAGTTTTACCGGTCTGTCATAAAAGTGCTCGGAAAAGCAGAGCTGTACATGCTATTTGGTGTATAGAACAGGACGGTTCTAAGTCGGTTCTACTCCGTGTTTCAGGATAAATGCAATTATCAGGCAACTGCAATTGATCAACAGTTGTCAATAGCGCAAATAAACATACATGCACATACAATGAAAAGAACGTTACTACGAAGCATAATGTTTAATGCCGAATGGACAGATCATGATTGTTATTCGATGCTGCTGAACCATCCAGCTTTAGAACTAAGTACTCAAAGCAGTGGAGAACCACCAGTTAAAAACCAGCGACTTTTTAAGAGAATTCAAAGGCATCTAACAATAAGATTGGAACTAGCAACAAGCACGCTAAGGCGCAATAACGTTGGCACTATTTTATTGGCAGAAGCCATGGAAACTGTACAAGTGTTACCCACAACACGTTGAGCAGAGTCTTATCATAGATTCTCTATTGATCATAAGACATGAAATTTAAGATTAGGAGACAATAACGATGTGCATGAAATGAGTTGTAAGAGAAAACAATGAAATGTACCAAAGAACCTTTGGACATATGTCGGTTTTATATTCCAATACAGTGGTTCTCAAAAAAGGGAAAAATATTCTTAAGTTCCGTAAAAACAATTATAGAGATAAAAAAATTGGTTCTTCACTGGTTGAAAGTAATAATATGATTGAGAGTGGAGATGATAGGCTTTCAATTGCTAATAATGTGTTTGGGCAAAACGACAGATGGTGCTTGCAGAACGTAGGTGGGTAATTTCTAAAGGATTTCGTTTAGCTGCGAGAACAGGCGACAGCAAAAATCAAGCAACAATGGTTTGACATGGAAACTAACTAAAAGACACCACATGTTATAACTTAAAGATGGGAGACCATCCACTGCGGAGGTTCCAACTCCAAATTCTGCACACAGCCGGATTAATCTAGACTGTTGTGAGAAAAAACAAACACTATAGGACACCAAACAACGATATCAATACAAGAAAAAAGATTATATTTATCTTGTTTGAGAAAGTATGAAAAGACATTTGTGAGATCATTGACCTGTGTTCACCGGCCAACCTCAGACAGATGGCTAACAGGTTAACCAAGACTTTAAAATTCCAAGCAATACAACCAGATATGCTATCAGTCAGACAAAAAAGTCTTGATTCGAAAAGAATCCATGCATACTTTTGAAACGGAAAACTGAAATAATCATTGTCTAGCATTTAGATTGCTAGCTGAAGATATTTCATAAAGAAGTGGCTATGTGATTGACATGGTTACAAACGTGACCTTAAACAACTCAATTAGCTATCTCCAAATTCGAACAAATCCACTAATAATAAAGAGGGCAGATATGGTTGCTTGCCTAATCTTCCTCTCATGTTACTTTCGATTCACATATGGATATAAACTTTTATCTACCTTCAGTCATTACCAAATGTTTATACTCCGAAGAGTGTCAAACAATAAAGTACATTTGCATGTTATGTATACATTAGTCTGTACTTTCTTTTAACTATAACTTTAATGAAATCTATGATATCTTGAAGATTTGGTCTTCTCCTTTTTGTTATTTTCTCAGTAGGTTGAAACCCATAATAAATCGGTAAAAATTGGGAAAATACCCTCTCAAAAACTAAAAATCGCCATCGAGGAGAGAAATTTCTGATAAATAGGAAAATGACTAATAAGCCTACGGAAAGTTTGCATATTTTCTGGTTCTGCTTTTGAGAAATTTTTTTAAGACGGCTCTCTGTCAAATTTCTCACTGAATTGCCTGCAAAGAATCTTACAACAGTTTCACGAGATACAGGACCATATCCCAGAAGTAGCCAAATGGAAACAAGGATGAAAGTCAATACAAGGTATTTTTGTCTGTCATTTGATGACTGGCAACAAATATAATGTTTGGTGGTGAATACTGTTCAAATGAGGACACAACAAAGCAGTTTCTTTGTTTCCAACATGTAAATTTTGTTTGAACTAAATATAATACTATGAAAGTATCATACAGGCCTGTAAACGTCGACCTGAACTTGGCAAACTGTCTAAATAGCTGGAAATATAACAAAAGGAACTCACGTACTTTTTACGTTGAACTTTTGAAGACATCCCTGTGAACAAAATAATCAAAAATTAAAAAGAAGGCTAGAAATGTAAGGGCTGTATGAAAAGGTTTGGTTAAAGTTTCAAATATGAGAGACAAGAATAGAGACATCTACATACCTTTAGCTTACAAAATGAAACGAAACCATGAAATTATTTGGATGAAATTAAGCCTCAACTATTTCTTCAACAAAACTTCAAAAGTAGCTGTTGACTGCAAATCTAAAATTCTTTAACTCTTTAAGTGAAAAGATCATAGGAATTCTTTCATAAGCTGGCATATTTGAAATTTTGAAGTGTGATGAACAGGACTGTTGGTTTTCAGTCCGAAATAAGGCTTTTTCATTTCATTTTATCTATCATTTCATTTAATGTATAACAATTGAAATCATTAGGCTCTGGCATTCAAAGGGGTAGGCATTTCTGTTCAGTATAATTATTACACCTTGAATAATTTTCACATTGTCAATTATTTTCATTTACACTATATGGCTGAGCGGTCGCTGATTGGTAAAGAATGAACCATTCAAACGCATTGCAGAAAAACATCACCAAAATTCTAGAGAAATTTCGACCTGGATCAAAAAAATCTGAGTTTTTGTTACTTAGAACTGCAGCAATTTTGCATTTGAGGTTCTAGGTCCCGTCAAGATGTTGTCCCTATTGGTGAAATTGGTGATTTTGACAATGGAAACAATTCATCTAGTATCGTTAATTAAAAACTTTACGTTAGATTATACATTGTTTTTAGTACTTTCTTTTTTTCTTTTCATTTTGTAAACCGGCAGCCTATTGCTATATAAACATTGTTGAAATTTATCTAGAATTTTATATCAAACGTTTCTCTCTTCTCCTTGGGTTCTTATCGATCCACACGTGGATTTAAATTTTCTGCTCATGTTTGGTGTTAATCCGACGTTTATACTATGAAGAGTGCCGGATGAAAAGTACTTCAGTATGCGATAATTCCGCTATTTCATGCCAAATTTTTCAGTACCAAAAACTTATTTGTTATATCATATCGTTTCTTGTTATTCGCGAAGTTCCTGCCATCTATTTCTTGTCAAGTCCTCCAATTAGCTGGTACCTTAGACGAGATTTCAATGTTGTGCAGCATTAGCTCGTATCTTTTATATTTCGATAAGGTACCTCAAACTTTTGACAGACTATGAATTAAGCATTAAGTCAATAAGAACATGATACGCGAGAGGGCACAATCCAATAACTCAGAATAAATCTGTCAAAGCTAGTTTTCTCTGCAAATTCCTTTATGTCTGCTCTTTGCAAAGTTTCCTGTGGTACAATGCACCACAGGGAACAACCTTTGTGTATGGTTCATGGGTGGGCAATGGGCCTTGTAGCTTACTGCCTTCATATTTTAGCACAAGACCAATACAGTACTTAGCTAAAATAATTAAATGTTTGTTGATTACAATATGCAGTGAGTATTAATGTCATTTTGCTAAAAGGATGAAAGTGTTGATGCTGATAACCGTAATTGGCATAGCAGGAATTCAAGCGTTTGTGGGTTATCATAAAATGACATATCGCTGCATTGCTTTATTTTAACAAAGGTCTGTTACAGTAAAAAACAACAAAGCTGAAAGAATATTGGAACAAATGTAGACATTTCTCTTGAATTTAGTAAATTTTTCGCCGAACTCAATAAAACAACAATGTCAACAATGCAGTTGTGGTCTTGTAGACGTGATGAGGCACGATGAAAAACCAAAACATTTAGCCATATGTCAACCGCGTTTCAATCGATATGAAGAGTCAATTCAGTACAGAAACCTTGTCAAATTTCATACTGACAATTCTAATCATGATGAGCTTCGATAACATAAAGCCCAGTCTGATTAATAGCTTCAGCTGGATCAAAGTGACGGTGATTTCAAAAGAATGATACACCGTGAAGACGTTATATCAGCAATATCGACATGTTAAGTTGAAAAATATGCAGATGTCAGGGACGTGAACTTGGGTCTTACCATAATGGTTTCTAAGCTTGTTAGGCCGATTTTTTTATAATTCTTAGACAATATACTTATCTTGTATTTTGAATATATCATTATGCAGTCTGTATTTGTTGCAGAACAAGCCAAGAAGCTTTAGATAAGTCAACAATAAGAACTAGTTACGATAAGGAAATTTTAACGACAATATCGAAACGTAAAAGAAACTGCAAGAAACAAAATATCGCTTCTCTTCGTGTTTACGGTTCAAAAGATGAAGCATGCTCAATGTTATAAACAATTCTAGATAGAGCCTACCTTATACTTAGCCCTTGTTCCAACCCCTCAAATTCCTCTACTTAAAATAACAACGAGACAAGGTAATAAGCAATACAGCTAAAAAGCTCAGGACAAGGATCCAGTTTCTAATTTTTTGTTGATTTTAGTTCTAAAAATTGTTATAATTAAAGCTACTTTTTGGCAACACAATAACGCAACATACAATAACAAGAAACAGAACATCTAGCAAGCCACAAGGAGCCCTCTTTTTACTCATCCTTGGTAATAAAACAGGAAGTTGGTGCTTAATTGTCGAAAAGAATCATTGCTACCACATCATTAAAATAATCATCTTTGAGCAGTTTTTCAATGTTGAGGGTGAACAGTTTTGTGGTTTCTCAATTTTTCATATAAGATTTCAGTTTCTTGAAACAGATGCTAATATCAGGCAATGTTTTTGCTTTATCTAGGCATGATAAGCAAACACTTTAGGCTCAAAAAACTCAAAAATTACAATAAATTATCATCTTCAGAAAATTCATATTTGGGTCCTGAATCTTGAAACATCATAAAGAAATATCTGCATGCTAAATGTCCTCAACATTTTTTACAATTACATGTACTCTTGAAGTTCAAATGATTCAACAAAAATTTGTTTTTTCCAGATTACAAAAGAAAGTTTCATATAACATTAGATTTCATCACACAGTATCTCTCATAGAAAGGTTTCCCTAAATCTGGGATTCTTCCTTAAAACGAATTTTTTAGAGCTAGAAAATGATCAGTAATGTCAAACTCCTACATCAGCACAGGAATGCCAAACGAGAACCTAAACAGAGAAAAAGCAATGTCTAAATCCTGATAAATTTTCTTGTTGCACAAAACTAGAATATGGCACCTAGGAAGGACAACTGTGAAACTCTAATCACCTCTAGGATATCTTTTAATTGACTGAGGACCAATGGAACTTCTTCTTTAAGCAGCCATTCAAACTCCAAATTCTACAAGTAGAAAGCACAAAATTATTCTTTCAAAATCATGACTGTAGACATAAAAAGCACCAACACAGCATTAATTTTGTTTGGAATTTCAGGGTATACACAAATTCTAGTAAGTTTCAAGTACTAGGTATAACGCTTGCCATTTCAACATAGTTGATCATCTATGCAAGACAGATCCAAAGACAAAAGAGAACATGGAAAATTTATAAATAATTATTATCTTGTTTTGTGTTTAAAGCTTTCCATTTCTGAATGCTATGTTGCAGGCAGCAGATCCTTTTAAAGATGTTTTCAAGTTTGCATCAACATAAACTGGGTTATTCCTAACAGGAAAATTTCATCTTCCTATGTACAAGAAACTCTCCATTCACTCCAATTTTGATCAAACTTTTTGATGACTGGAGAACAGTATGAAATATTTAATAATTGCTTGCCCAGATTACCTAATTTTTCCAATGTTATGTTATGATTCACAAAGCTCATTAGGTGTTTTTACATACTGTAATTTGGTGTTTTTGTATACAGCATTGCTCCTTTACACATAAGATAAGACTATAGACCTATTCAGAATAGAGTAAGTAAATCGACATCAGAAGCTAAGTACATTTTTGAAAATATTTGAATATCTCTTTGAAGAGGCATATAGCAGGTAACAATGTGTATCAGAGTCTTGGTTTCTTCTTTGAAATTCAAAGTAAAGAAACACTTGTCATCAATTGGAACCAAAAAAATAACAAAGAGCCACACTGAGCTACTTATGCCAAAACATCATGCCAAAACATCCTTTTATCTTTGACAGAGCTGCTGATACAAACCCCTAAAGATGTTCCAGGTAATATGCAAGTTAAATCCAGTTTCTACCCCTTCCCAAACTTCAAAGTTGGAGCATATGTATTTAGTAGCAGAGAGAAGGGGAGTTGTAAAATAACAACAAATGTCTGTCCAGGGTACTAGATAGAATATCACCTGAATAACTAACTAGGGCTGTGTGCTTTTAACTAAAGCCCTGGTCAAGTGCATCAAACATTTCAACCAAAATATACTCCCAACATCTTTGAAAGTTTGTTGATAGTTTTAAGCTGGTGGTTAAATGTTTCCAATATTATGCAGACCATTTCATTCAATGTTTCCATCCATGTGCATAGTCTGCCCAGTGACATGTTTATAGCACTGGTTTACAGATGGTGAAAAGGCTTGAAACCCAAAGAAAAAAATCAGATTTCTGATTCAGAAAACACCATGATGAAAGGTAAAGTTGTCCTTTTCAGGGGTTTTGGTCTGGATGACCCCAGCATTATCCAGTCCACTTTTGGATTTCACCTTGTTTTTTATTTATCTTTGGAATAGCCATCACATTAGGTTTATGCTTTGAAGTGCTCCAACCAGGGGCAAATTTCAGAGACAAGGTTGAGGGGAAGGGGAGATAGACAATGACAGGATTAGCAAATAAGCTAATGACTTACATAAAACTGCCAAACCAGATTTTTACCGAATGAATAAAAAATTTACCAGACAGTACGAAAATACTGGGAGGTGTGGCACCCCAACACCTAACTTTGAGTAGAAGATTATTTTTGGGGCCAAGGGTGTTGGAATCAGTGGGCACAAGGGCATGTGCCCCAACATTTTAAAAAACTTACAAAACATCCTTCCATACATATGGGCCTACCTTTTTGAATGCTTCTAATATCCCTGCAGGGAGGAATTCAAAAGTCTCAGCTACTCTACAGGGGAAGTCATTTGAAATAATTTTTACCATTCTGTTATAAATCATAGTATTTTTTACAAATTGCAGCCTTTAACTTGTAGCCAAACATCCATCTTCTACTGACTTCAGAACAAGCCTATATGCCCATGGTTCATAAAACATGCACACTCTCACACTAGGGATTTTTTTGTCTAAACAAAATGATAATAATGGCTTTCAGTAGCTTTTAAAACAACTTCATAAGTCGTATTGTTTTAAGTTAAAGCAAGCAATTCTACTTTTTATCATTCACAATGAACTTGATCAATGTCAATTATGTACAGCCGTACTGACTTCTTAAATGTAGCTGCTTACTTAAAATATATGGCTGAATATTTGCTGGTGGAGAAACCATCACATCCTGATATTATTTTCAACTACCATTGGCTTTGGCATTGCTTCAAAATTCAATCCTGATTGAACACCTTAATGCTTTTTTATTGCGAACATAGTGGACACATGTCTCAAGCCCTGGAAACAACTGGACATTTTCACTGAACATTAACAAAAATGTCAAGTGTAAATGTTGCATCAATTTGCCACCTTGTCCAGTCTTATTCAGCAATGTTGAGCATTTTTGGGTCGATTTGAAGGCATTTGAAACTGTTTAGTAGACAGGATTAAATTTCTTTTGTTCACAGATGTTGTAGAAAAATGTGCAGTAGTTTTGCCCTTCTACTGAACAATGTTCAGTTTGCTTGCGTGCATTTCAATTGATCTAGAGGATTGGATTTGGTGCAATTTTATTTCCCATATTCAAATCTTTAGCAAGCTTTACTAGAAGACAACATGGACTGGTGGACATAGAGTGACATTTCTTCCCTCAAAGAAAATTCAGAGACTAGTACACTATGTGGTAATGCTTCTTACAATCAAAAAATTGCTCAAAGAAGCTTTTGCAATAAGGGGGCATGAGGAAATCTTCACATGCATTAGGAGCAGGATTGACCAAATACACTCATTTAGACCAAATGCATTCTGTTGGGCATCATTTTAGTAATTATGCAAGATGAACTGAAAAATGTAACACTTATAAAGCATCATGTTAGCAGCTATTTTTCATATAACAAGTATCTTGAAACATTATATTTGCAGATCTACCAAGTCACACGCACTTTGCATGAGACACACGCATTTTGATGCTTTCCCACACTCACATACATCAAAGCACAATTCTCACGCATTTTGCAACAAACTTCTTAGTTTATTTTAATTTTCAATTTTTTACAAAATTCCTAGCAGAATCTGTAGTGACCATTGTCGAATGTAATCGTGTCTTCCATTGATCACTGCTGTTAACACCTTTTATTGTCTCCGTACCCACAGCAACGTAATCAAAAAAATTTTGTAGCGTCCCCTCGTTTTATGTGTATATGCCCTTATTGTATTTAGTTCAGTTAGAATCAAGACACATCGTCTTTTCTCTGGTTCTGTGTTCTCTGCATGTAAAATAAGACACAGCACTGCTTGGAAATGACACATGCAGTGATGGATGGATTTATTTAATGACTACATTAATTGCCGATCTAATGTACACTAAAAATCCCTATTTCCGAACAAGGCATGTTAGCACGATAACAGCGATAAGATAATTATATGACAGGAGAAGCATAATCACCCTTAGAGTTTCATTATTCTAGATTGCAATCGAAGCAGTCAGAGCAGAGTAACCTTTTTTCAAGAGTGATATTTGGGGTAGCAGTTAAACAGTAGCACCGAAAGGGAGGTTCATCTGGGGTAACAACCAAACATTTTCCCTTCCTTTAAAAGAACTCACTCATTTTCAAAACTGAAACTTGACAGGTCTGTATTTGATACTAGTTCCTGTGCTCGCACAGCCATCAATATCAATCAAAGCTATATCTATGTATAACTATTATGCTACTAACCAAAATCATGCTGCTTTTGGTTGCACATAGCCAAAATCATACAAATATTCTCTGTTCCGGGCAATTTTTTATCATTGTATTGTATATGCCAAAAATGAATCACAGAATTCCTCCCAACCTGGTGATAGCAGAACAAGTTAACAATTGAACAGTGACGTGGTGGCAGGGGGAGCCAGGGGGTCATGCCCCCCTGAATAGGGGCGCAAATGGAGATATTTGGCTGGGAACATCAAAATTGATCATACACGGGTCAAACACTTCGCTGTAACTTGCTGTGGACAATCTAATAAAACGTGTGATTCTACAATCGAAGCACATTGCGCTGCCATGACCCAGTCAATATTTATGTCATATGTTTTCGTGTTAACTAAGTACATGGCTTCATGTTTAGCATGTCAACTTACAAAGATTTTACCTATGCCAAAAATGTTTTCTATTGGTTTGCACTTGGAACGCCAAAAAGCCTGAGTGTATGCCAAAGATCTTCGGGCCTAAGTACATGGAATGCACCATGGCAATCAATACAGCAGCTTCTTGTTATTAACATTGATGTGAACCAAAGGTCACTCTTTCTTTCTTTATCCAACGCATGAATCCTCCCCTCCCAAATTCTTTCTAAAAATCAAAAATCAATGCTTTTTTGAGCACCGTCAAACTGTCTATTCTGAGCGGTGTAGAAATTTGTTAAATTTTAGTCTGGGAGATGCATTTTTAGTCATTCTTGAAGTCTTGATTTCAAAGGTTTTCTTCCACGTCGGCCCCAACCATGATGGGTCCTCCTTTATCACTAAACTTGATATTTAATCCAACCCCAGATTCAATTTCGTGCTGCCACCTCTGTCCGATTGAATAGTGTGTCTCAATGATTGAAATTTTCAAGTTGTTGAAAGAACTGCTATTTAATAACTGCTAAAGAATAACAAACTTGCAACAATGTTTGTATATCATACATCATATATACGATGACACTGAGCTGATAAAATCGCTCATAAGCAGTGGTGAAATGGACTAAGGTTACCTTTAGTTAAAATCTAAAGAGCCGGAAATAAAGGTTTGTTCTACGTTATTTACTTTGAAGTTGGTATTCAGGATATGATAAACGAGTTCAAGGCCAGGGCCGTCAGCCTGTATGAAACATCAGTGTAATTGAATAGAATGTCTTTTATTGGTATATTATGTTTTGCCTGCCGTATTTCCTCGAAAATAGGCCGACTCTCGAAAATAAGCCAATTCAAAATAGCTTGATATTTTACCGAACCACGATCGAGAAGGTCAAATGTTAGGATTATATCACTTTTTCCATTCATATTCGCATTTTAAGTCAAAACTTATTGATGAAATTTTGGATTCAAGTTGCAAAGATCGATTTCCCTTCTAGAAACACATGCTTTTACATAGCCGCGATATATGGATAGGACTCTTCTAGCACATTTTATCCATTAAACTTCATAATTTTCATTATTTCTTGCACTCTGAGCATTATACCGATACTCGGTCCTGCTCAGTATCGATGTAGATGTAGATGTAGATGTAGGACGCAAAAATCGACTTGGTGACCCCAGGGAAAACATAGCCGCTGCAGTTGAACGAAGATCGATCCCAAAAATGCATTGGAATATACCTAAATTAAATTGGTTATTCGTTTATTTTCTTAAGGAAGGATTGAAGCATTTCTGCACGCAATATCGGATAAAATACGGAATTCTCACCAACAAACGATCTTCATCTTCTTCCTTTGAGTCAGCCATTTTACTGAATGTTTCCCAGGTAGCCTCGTTTCGAAACAACATAGAACGCACCAATGATTGAAGGACGGAAAATTGGATACAACGAAAGTGGATTTTGATTTTTGCCCAAATCTTTTCAAGGTTCATTCCAAAATTTTCCATTTTCATTCTATTTCTATGAAAAGTGCAATGAGAAGGCGTAGGAGAAAAAGTTGAATAAAGATTAAGTTGTGACTTTGTGGTTGTGTTACTCTTTTAATGCCAAAAAGTGCCTAACTCCTACTTTTGCAATTGTTTTTGAGACACTTTGCCTGGGAGCTCTCTTCGTTTTCTACAGAACTAAAAACTGTTAAACTGTTCAAACTTATTTTAGTCTTATTTAGGAAATGAGATCGTTTTTCATCTCATCGTTTCTAATGGCTATATTGATGTCAAAAATGATTTTCAGTTCTATTTCAGGGCTGCATAATTATTTGTTCAGTTCAAACATATTCTTGAAAGAAAGTGCCAGTCTTCATTTTAGTTTTGTAGTAACTTTTGACTCAAGGTAGTTCCTTGCTACGCTGTAGTCATATTGCACCATAGCATATACTTTAGTCAACTATCTTTTCGATAATGATTTCCAGTAAATTTCTGGTCACTTTCCCAAGTCCTTGCTTTATGTTAATATTACAAAGTGCGAGGACGGCTCATTTTTAGAGACGCTGACTACAGACCGAAGGGTCCTTAGCTCGAGTCCTTGGCGTGACCAAACTTTCACTCAAAGTGAGGAGAGTCGCCAGCTCTCTGTATTTCCAGGCTTAGGAATCACGAAGTGCGGTCACATCGAGACGAAGGACCAGGACATAGCTTCTCGGTTTCCTAAAAACTACCTTTGGATGCTAGGTAGAAACAAATACAAATACAAATACAAATAGCATGTCAAGAATTCAGGGTTCTAAAATATCTTCTTCTTCTTATTTTTGTGTCGTGCGCTAAGGCGTTGACGATCATGCTCCTCCAGATTTCTCTATCTTGACATGCTTGAAAGAGTTCATTTCCATTTGTCCTGTTAGTCCATTCTTTGTCCTGTTAGTCTAAAATGTCTAGACATGCTAAAAAGTCAAGATAAAGGCGACTTTCCTGTAATGTTTTAAGTTTAACTTACTGGGGAACCACAAGCTTCCAACCTTCTTTGACCCCTGCATAATCGTCAGATTTTGTATCATAACTTTATTTGTTTATCATTCTCAGTATAATTGGAGGCATGTTATTTACTTATATTTTATTCACTGACATTCACCTAAAGAAAATATTGGCTGGAAATGTCTTGCCTGCATTGTAAACGCTTCTCACAAGTAAATGTTCAATTGAATACCCTGGAAATTTGATTGGGGCGTTTATAAATGGAAAGCATTCGGCAAACAGATTCATTTAAAACATATTCAAGCAGATACATTTGAATGGCTTGGCAACTTAAAAAACAGTTGCATATTCCAGTCTATTTTCAAAAACTACAGAAAATGTAAAATAGAAATGATACGCAGCATAATAAGTTAACTTTCAAAGTAATTCGGCAGCTAAACACTTATACACAAAATATTGAGAGTGCAAATAGTGAAGGAATTTCAATTAGTGTAGGCAAGTGAAAGAAAAGAAAACATTGGCGTAGTATCTAAAAATGCTCATTCCACGCTATAATCTGTACAGCGGTTTAAACATTCACTCGTTGCCTTTATTTGTCAATACCTTATCAATTATTACTAAAAACTATCTACACATTAAAATAAGTGCTGCTTAAAATTTGTATAATCTAGATAGCTGTAGCAATATAATAATTAGGAAAGTTTTAAATAATTGCCGCCAATAAGCTATATTTATTTTCTACAGTTACACAGAGCCTAAGTGAATTTACATAAAAAAATAAGATAACTAACCCTTGCACTGATTACATAGCAAACATACCTTACCAGTAATCTGCAAGCCAATATTATTTTTTTCAATCAAGAAAATAAATGAAAGTGAAACGACAAAAGAACAAATGAGGGGATTGGTTTCACAGACGTTTCAGAGACGATTTTCAGGGTACATATTATAATAATACCAATTCAAGCCTCCATTATATAGTGGTTTTTTGAATCCCCTTTAAATATTTAAAAGGGAACAATGAATATATACCCGAAGGCAGGAGATCGGTGGATAATTTTGGAAGACCTTACTTTACTGTTACATAATACAAAGTCTAAAAGCAAACTCTTTTTCTCAAAAAAAGAGCAGCAAAAAGCAACACGATATTAGATACAGCTTACTTTTACTGTTGTTTATAGAAAATTTAAAAAGTTTAAGTTACGAATATAAAATGAACATTAACAAGCCAAAATAAAATTCTACAATAATTGTCAATATTTTTGTAAAGGAGCTGCACGAAGCTCCTTCTAATTTTTTTTAGTAAAGAAGAAAAATGCTTCTTTTTAATTATGACTGCTTGATGCTCTGAAATTTGAAAAAAATTCCCAATTGGCAAAAATTTTCCATCTTAGTATTATTCATAGGTTCTAGCAGGGGCAATTTTAAGTGCCAGTCTTCCCATAAAAATAGCTAAAAATTGATTCTTAAAAAGTGCAGTTTAAAAACCAGGATAGTCATTGAACAATTCTGTAATTTCTGTTTATCATCAAAATCGTACAAACGACTAAGAAAGCTTATTGGTGAAAACTTGTTTCTGGAACAGCAGAATCTGTGCAAATAACAGCTAACTTGTAATGTATCAACCTTCAACATTATTACCCTGACGAGTTACTTGCATATATAGTCACAGACTAAACCGCCTACTTTCTTGAACCATCGTTTAACGATGCAGTTGGCCACTATTATGTTGTCGGGATAAATTGGTTTATATCTTAGCGATATTTATCGTGCAGAAACGTCTATGATTTGAAATAGAACCATCCTCTGTTTGAACTTTTGATGTTAGCCTCCAATGAGTCTTGCTGGTTCTGTCGAGAAATGAGAAACAAGAATACGTCAGTTGAACAGATAGGCTTGGCCTGTGTTGTAGGCTCTTTAGCGAAAGGGAGTAGAAATTACCGTCTGTGGTTGCCTTTGTTTTCATTCCTTGTCCAAATAGTCTACAACGCTGGCCCAGATATGAATTGATAAAAAATGCTGCAATGGTGATTTGGAAAATCAGCCTGCCTTCAGTACAACAAATCACGTCTTGTTGAATGACATTATGGGTTTAGAAACAAAATCCTTCTAGACAAGAAAGGTTTGAATGTCGTTTTGACAACAACTAGCAGAATTTTAAAAATCATCTGAAGCAACAATTAAATGTTAATTATCTCTTAAAACATGAAACATCAAATAATAATGAAAAATCTGTTTTTTGCTCATTTCCTAGATCACAATACTTGACTGTGTCAGAATTATAAAGAGCTCGGGCTAATTTTAGCATGTCGCTGTACTTTCTACTGTCATTCTTGCAAGTCACTGAAATCATCTTCAATCGCCCTTTTACTCGAATTAAAGCAATTATTTACATTTTAACGCGGCTTAACTCGGGTATAAAGCAATATTTGAAGATCTTAATACATAATAAAATGTCTGCCCGTTTGGCTACAGTTTAAAAAGCTTTACAAAGAAGAATCACTTTACATCAACTTCTAATGCTCCCTTTTATCGGATAGCTTTACCGCAAAATAAAGGCATTCGGATTACAGTTTTAAATAAGTTATAGAAAACAAAACAGGAAGGTTTCAATGAAGAAAAGATCTTTTTAAAGTATTTCTGTTTTGAAAGCAGTTCTGAAATTTGGTTTGAAGCCTTCGACCTTCAAACGGGCTAGTTAACTCAAAAAAGAATAAGACCAACGTTAATACTCAGGTTGCTGACTTTCTTTGCACATAAACTTTTATAGCTGCGAATACATTAACGTTTTAACTAAACTGAACCTTTATATTGGGTTTCAAGATATCTTTGGAAATAGAAAGTAAAGAAAACATGCAGTTAGAGGTGAAGGCTAATTTTCATTGGTTTTTGCCGTCAACTTTAAACCCCCTCCAGTTGATTCATTGTACATGATAAGTTGAATGATTTATCAATTTGGTCAACTCTAATTTATTATTAGTTAGTTTAAAGGGGGGAGGCAAATGAAAAAAGATAGGGATCCCTATTTCATTCTTGAAATGATCCTGGGTCCCTAGGATAAGGAAATTTAGAAAATGTATTGAACTTACGACAGTAATGGCAAGTAAAAGGACACATTTTCTTCATCACTTTGATGTTTGAAGCGCGTTCACTTCCACATCCTTGCTTGAAGTACTTGCAGAATGGCGCATCTTTGCATTCTTGAGGGAGAAAGAAATATGCAAAACGTAGAGTGAAAAAAAGTGAAATGTGAGGCAAGGTCCGCTTGAGTGGAATAGTTATAATTGCAAAGATGCATATAGAATTTGATCTTAAAGTTTTGTTCGATATCGCTGGTAAGCAGAATCACAGGACTGGTAGCAACTGTCGCCTGGTAGCTGCTTTGCAGAGGGAGATTAGGGGAAAAAGAATTGACATAGGATTGGGATGGAGTTTTTCTCAACGAGGCATACCATTGTTCAACAATCACTGCCATGACCCAGAGTTTTATTCTCCCTCGCACTGAAGCTTAATGTAAATATTCATGTTTTAATGCCTGTAATTCTGCAGGAAACACCTTCTTAAATGTAAAACTCTATCTAAAATTGACCTTAAAAATTCAATTGTAATGCATGCAAAATGCCCTGTAATAGAATAAAAACGTTATCTTTTCCTGAACCCGGAAATTGCCAGTATGATAAAGTATAAAGAGGATTAAACCAAAATTTGTACAGACTTCATCAAAGAAAGAAAAGAAAATTAAAAAACTTGGAACCAAAATTTTCAGTCCCTTCAGAAATTTCTCAAAAATGCGAATAACTTTAAACGTGAAACAACCAAGGCTCGGTATTTATCTCAGCCTTCCTTCAAACTCTCAAACTCCGCACATAAATTTCGTCCCAAAAGCTCTGATAGCCCTATATTACGTGCAATAGCTTCAATGAAAGTGATCCCTACCACCACATCCTTGCCCGTATGGTCCAGTAGCAGATTTATCTCCTGGTGCACTCCAGCAGCAGCCGTACTTTGATCTTTCGCATTTTGGCTCATTTGGCTGTCCTGTCAATAAGAGAGAGACGTTAAAAAATTCAGATCAAATTTTAGTAAATACCTCAAAATTGTGCTGGGCGTTAAACTCTTAAATGTTTTTAAGTTTTAAAATGAACGTATAAAGGCAGGTTATTTTCTTTTCGTGGGGAGGGAAAAATGATTAAAACATTTATATGAATTAATTCAAGGTTATTTTTATTTTCTTGCCTCTATTTTTCCATCAAAAGGTGAAACCTTACCCTGGATGCAAGTTTCATTGTAAATAATAAGCGTGTCTATCTATAATGCTTTAATTTGGACGTACTGCGCCAAAGAACCACTAGACTGTTTGGCTCCTTGTATACGCATACAATTGTAGACGCACGACACGGCACGACAAAGTAGACCACGAGTACATTTTGTAACCCTGCCCAGACAGAGTTACTGGACCCATTATTATTATAAGAAATAGCTTAAAGTTTATAAACCACACCTACAACTAGAAATCACATTAAATTAGTACGTTCGATTCGACAATGCAAGAGCTATGTCACGTGGCATTTTTGTTGCAACAAATTTTGAAAGCTACATTCAGACAAAGTAACAATAAAAGTCTTTGAGAACATTACGTTTAAGCTCGTATGCAAGTATAAAGCAATGCTCTGAAACTGAAGAAAATTAACCTAAATAGATTATATAGGATTCAGTACAGTAATAGCATAGGAATGCAACAGCTAGAAAGGCAAACAAAGTCGGATACTTACTGCAAAATCCGCATGTCTTTGGGCAGTAGGTTCTCATTAAGACAGGGTGGTCGAAACAGGCATTCATCTTTTGCCACGATTTGCAAAGGCCTAATTTAGCTTCTCTCTCCCGATCTTTGCATGTAACTGTATGAAAGATAAGAAAGTATATTCAAAACATTTTCAGGCTCAAGAAATAAGTTTTTGTAATGATGAAAATCTATGGTAAATTGAATTCGTTCACAATGTGATTTGCTTTTTTAAGGTTCACATTCGCAGTAAACATGCTCTTAGGAAAATTAAAGCCATATCAAAAATATCAACTTGCCTTTTCTTACACATGATCCGTATTTCCTGACTAAAATATAGTCTCCTGTTTTGCATTCTGCATTGATCAAGTCACATAAATCAGGGTATTCGACGCCATTGTGACCACAAACAGGGCCTGTTCCAAACTTTTTCTTGCATTCTACCAAACAGCGGCATCCTGGGTTTCCATTTTCATCCATAACACAGATCTTTGATGGTGGGCACTTGATGTCAGTGCAAACAGGTCTATCTTCTATCATGAGAAGGTCAAGAGTGAAAAGTGTGTTACAATCTCTATAAGTTAAGTTTCAAAAATTAGAACTAAAGGTCAATGGCATACGATAGAAGAAAATGGGTGCTGGATAGCCGTTATCTAACATGTTTGGGGGGAGAGGGGGGGGAATAGAAGAGAATGCAGTGAAAGTGTAAAAGAAGAAATAAACTTTGCGCAAGATACATTTTTCATTATTTCAGAAAATGAAGTGGCTGGGCTGTCGTCTCTGTAGTTTCATAAAGAGAGGGCTTTTAGCTATCATCTTAATAAAAGGGTGTGTCTCAATGGACGTGGGTCATCAAAGTTGAAGATCAGCAACATTGCTGTTGTCTTTTCTTTATCTAGCAACATTTTGAATGCTAAAAACAGAAAAGAAGTTTCCCCATTCTTCCTCTAACGACACCCCCGGAGAACTATATATTTTTGCTAGGTTTCATTTCTCCCTGCCTATAAAACGATTAATATCTAAGTATTTCAGCAGCACATTACAAAAAATTACGGGTGTAGTATTAGGGTCATTGGGGTAAAAATTTAAAAAATGGATTTCACTTTCACATGCTTTTTACCGATTTCTGGTATTGCTTAAAATTGATAAAACTATCTAGTGATTTGCAATTCTTTACCACATGTAATGCAAGACTCCTAAATGAAGTTTTATTTCTAATATCAATAGTGCAAGAGAAGTATTGGAAAATCTTTGTGTAAAAGCCTTTAAAGTTGTAAAAAAGAAAATTACTTACTGCAGTAGCCACATGTCTTAGGGCAGAAAACAGCCATTTTCACTGGCCTGTATTTGCATGCTCTGTACTTTGCATACTTCTTACAACGAGCATTCGACATTCTGTCCAAACAATTACCTAAAAGCCGATAAAAAGTCGCATTAATACCCCCCAATTAATCCAAAAAAGGACCATAAATAACTCTGATTTGCTCTTTTAAAAAAACATCTATCATGAAGCAATGAAACATTTGAAACCAAAAGTGCAGCACACCTACCAAATCTCACACATTATGCGTGAATTTGAAGTACTCGAGAAGCATAAAGAAGTACACGAGCAATTGATTTCGCCTATTTATAAACATAAACTTGGTGTAAAAGAAATATTCAAGTTGAAAGTGAGCCGGCAAAGATGCATCGTAAGATCAAGATCTAATATTGCTGTTTCAGATAATTTGGTACAAAACAGATTCACAATGTCTGTCTACGTTTTAAGTAAAAAACCGGACTTTGTTGTATACCGTTTACTAGTGCTCTCCAAACTGTCTTAACATTTTAACAGGTAACTTTATGCTTTCATGGCCAAGAATGCTGTACTTGTTTTGTATTTATGCAGTTTATGCTTTTTTAAATGGGCAGTTGGTGCATATTTAGTTAATATTTATGGCTCTCATCTCATTGGTGCTTGATCTTGGAACAGAGTCTCAAATCCATGCAACTCTATATTTCTAAGCATGAATACCGTAAATCCTCGAATTGATCCCCCCCCCCCAAAAAAAGCCACCCTCGAATAACCCCTACCCTAGAACTGCAAATTGTCAATAAGCCCCCGCCACTGGAACAAGCCCCCACTGCTACCGTAAATTCTCGAATTGGACCACTCCATTTGATGATTTTTGCCATCTGAGGTTGCCTATGGCGTTTTATTGAATTACCACAACAAATTCATACTTTTGGTAATAATTAATTAAATGTTCATAAAGAAATTCCCACCAAAATTTACGAGGTCTTTTAATAATGTCTTCTTAATGTCCACAATAATTTTATAAGCTCCCCCTCGTAAAACCCCCCCTCGTATAAGCCCCCCCTCGAATAAGCCTCCATCCAAAAATATAAAAAATACATAAGCCCCAGAGGGCTAATTTGAGGATTTACGGTATTCATGATAAGGTTAGTCTCCAATACACAAAGAGCCTAATCATTCATTCGTGGGTCAGTTTCTTGAGTTCATTTATCTCTAATGAGCTCACCAAAATAGGTTTTTCTCCGTTATTGATACTCAAAAATGAAGAACTTTGTATTTTCATCAAAGCTGTCATTGATATCAAGAATACCATCTCATATACATTTTCTTGATAATAAGTAACTAGCTTTCAAATTAAAGTGCTGTGACATACTTCTAATGTAATGAGTTTTGAAAAATTTCTAAGGGCATTTAGAGCTTTTTCTATCTCCTTCTATCTTCTTGCGGTGACCTTAAAGGTTTTTTGGTAATTGAAAACAAATAATTTTTGCTTATGCCGATAAAAGGCATGACCTGTTCCACCGGTAAGAGTAGAGGCACAGGTCTGCCTATGCAAAGGCGGAATCTGTACTCCCATTGTTTATCTTCTCCAATAAACTAGGATTGCCGTTCACATCCAATTTAAACGAAATCCAATTACGTCCAAGATAACAGTTCTAATACCATAAAATGACCCTTGTTTTAAGTCTAAATAAAATATTTAGAATACAGTTTTTGCGAAGAAAGAGACTATGGAACAGGCTTCATTTAACAAGAAAACTTTCGGAAATCACTGTGGTTAACCCATAGCGGTTGCGGGATTTTTGGATTGATCTTGCCATGGTGAAGCAATCGAACCTTTTAATTTTATTTAAAAGATTGTAGATCACTGCCAGTTTTTGGGAGATGCTAAAGATGGCTCGCGCTAACCTTGCACAAATTCATTAGGACTAAAAACAGCAAGCCATCAAGCCGAGACAGCCAGATCTATGCAACTTGTCTTAATTTCTTGTTTCTTACTAAAAAGTAAATGGATATTGTAAATGACCACTGCAAATGCTGCCAGTGTGTGGTTGCATGTGTGAAATGTGCCGTTTTCTGATAATCAAATGAAAGGGGGAAGAGAACATTTGTTTTCTATAAAGCAATGATTCACTACCCTCAAGGTAAAATTGAAGTCAAACACCACAACCAATAGAATATAAAAAATTGACCTTACAACAAAAAACCTCTCTCGTGTTCACCTTTTTACATTTTTCTCCAGTCCATAGCGACTAACTAAACGAAATTCAGCGCTCTCTACGGCTGACGAGTTATTTCCCGCAGGTTCCGCGCGATTCATGTCGACGCGGATTTCTTGAGTAGGAATTTGCTCTTTCCTATATCTCACAAGGTCATTGTTTTGAAAAGGAATCAAAAATAGATGTTTTGAAATACCAATTATTCGAGCATAACAACTTGTCTTTATTTGTTACGTTGGCTGGTTTTTCAAAAGCTGAGTTTGTGTGGGGTGGTTTATTTGTGCATGATTGTGACGTTTTGAGAAGTATGTTTCTGACTTGGGTTTGGTTTACACGTTGTTAACACAGTAGCTTATCAGTTTATTCAGGTTAGATCCTTCTGTATCACTAAGGTTATCTAGCTAGCAGTGTAATGATATTCTACCCTGTAAATAAACTATTAGTACCTCGTGTGCGTTGGCAACCAAATTGGCAATTACTTGATATTACAGAGACATCCTGGGTCACATACTGGGAAACACCTGAGGGAAATCCGCAAAAAAGGCGTGTGGTATTTTGCCAGCATTCTAGATTGCTAAATATTTTCATTATCTAGAAATACTGAAATGAAACCGAAGCCAAAAGAAAAACATTACTCTTAGTAGGAATTAAATATTATTATCTCGACATAATGCAGCAGATAATCATTCTCAGTCCAACCACAAACCACAGTGCAAAATCTTCAATCGTAGCTAACTACGGTTTGCGCCCCATGTTTTCAAAAACCTTGTTGTGGACATGGTAAGATTTCTCTGTTGGTGTCTGCAACCTTTGTTGAGAGAAATGGAGCTGTGTTGAGGGAAGGAACAGCGTGAGTGGCGGGATATTTACAGGCCCCTCCGAATAATTCTTGAGATGTGCTTAAAACCAAACAACGAATCATCTTGCTCTTGGCTCCCAAGAATCATAAAAAGTAAAGGCTCACCCCCCTCCCCCTCTTCCAACTCAGGATGTGCCCACCGGTCTCTGGGTTTCAGAACTTTGCGTCTGCCACTCAATTTATACCCAGTCGCTACATGGTTTGCCTATCAATATTCTTCTTCGCGTATCGATGGTGAAGAAATTGTCACTTGTTGGTCACTAGAATGTCAAAAGAGGTCACTTGTTTTGGAGGTAGAAAGAGGTAGACTTTCTGGCTTTGACAGGATTGTTCTAATATTTTAGCAAAAAAGGAATCCAGTCCTAAGAAAAAGAGTTACGGGGATGTAAGCAATCTACATTTTAATAAATACTGGTATAGAAAAGATTGACCCAAATTTTTATTTTTCAGTCACCAGGGCTGATCAACTTATCAGTAAAAGTGCTTCAAAGTTTATTTGATCCAGGTAACCCTTTTCAATTAAGATAAACAACTTTAAGGCTTAAGTACAACCAAGATTAAACTTTCTCACAACGATTTACACTCTTGTTGAGTGATTTCCAACATAAGGTAAAGCTTTATCTTCAACCCAAAGGAAGATTGCTGCTATTAAAACCACCTTTATTCCATACTGATGGTGATTACGATTAAGATGAAGATGACAATTTTGTTTTGATGATGTTTGTGATGTTGTACGATTGTGTCGATGCAGACTCAGTTCAGGTTTCTAAGTGGCTATAAGAAGCTCTTGAAGGTTTAAAGACTTTGAAACAAGCTCTTGAAGTTATTAGCCCTGGGTTAGAAATTTAGAAGCTGTGTGAGACTATAAGCGCAAGATTATCTGAAGCACATGCAATATTGTTAGAATGATATTGCCATGAAAAATCAGAAACTGCTTGTTTTTTATCAACATACTGATTACGAAGGAGCACGCACGATTAAAGAACTATGAGACGATGCATTGCTTTATCGCGTGCTAAAAGATGCTGAAAACATTTTGCTTTATACTTTTATGCAATTGTACCGACCCTCTGGTAAAGAAAGAAGCATTACCAAGCTCGTTAAATTTATATATACTTGCAAGATCATGCAAATCATTCACACCATGCAGATTTCTTATTGTAAGATATTTAAAGGAGAATTGGGAATATAAATGGGGTGTGGAAGAATGATAATGAGAAACTCCACATTTGCATGAAGTAAAGGATAAGGCCTTTAACTGAAACGGGGGAAAGTTGCCTTATTTGATACAAATTGGATTTCAAAAAATCACAGACATGAATTTGAATGGAAAACTTGCATTAGCGTGCCCAATACACTTCTAAAAGTGTGTCTTTCCTTTTTGCTAATCAATTGAGCTAATTATTGCAAATATTGTTGAAAGTAGCTCAGTTTGGTAAAGAATGTCAGATACTGTTGATATGATGGATAATCCTGCATCGTTGGGATTGCAATTATCCTAAAAGAATTTTTATTGACCACGCGGCTTAGAGAAACAAGATTTGCAACACCTATAATTTATGACTCTTGTGGATTAGATAGATAAATAGTTAAATACCTTTTAATTTAGGCGAATGTTCATTTTACTCTAACCCTATCTATTGCATACCCGGTCAGGGAAAATTTTTTCTTTAATTAAAGAATGAAAATAATTTGAAAATATTCTCTCTTTGGGAAATTTTGTTTCTAAATATGCAAAAGATAATATTTAGGATCTCGAGAAGAATCGTTTGTTTCCTTGCTTTAAGCTTAATTGAAAAATGCTTTGATCTGCATATTGACACTGAAATGTCACAGAATGAAAAAACAGAGGGAATGTCATTGAATGGACAGTTGTAGCATATCGTAAAAACAAACAAACATTATGAAATAACTGGGTTAGTGTTTATAAAATTCAGAAGGATTAGTGTGAGACAAGCATATGTGTAGATACAGCCCTTTGGGGGCTTGGGGAAAAACGTGCGCAAAGCTTGGAAGTAAATGACACGGTATCTAAGTGTATCTGTTCATTTTGAGATAAAGAACAGAAAAAAGATAAATAAGTTTAGGAATATCGCTAGCCAGCAACCTACTGTTCACATAAAGAAACTGTTTCGTGTTCATCTTGCAATGCAGGGAGCTAATGTAGGCGGGAATATAGCATATATATGCGTCCGTGTTTTTTATGATGAAAAGTTTTTGTAGATGGGTAAGAAGTTTTTTGTGGAATAGTTCCTAAAACGCGAGTAGAACACTTCTAATTGCATTGCCACATTGGGTCTTTCTTTTAAGTCAGCATCAATGCATGTTTCAGTAGCCTTCAGGATTAGATCCTTCGCTCACTTTTGTTCGCTATCCCTGGTTACCTATCTAGAATGTCTTCTGAGCTTAGAGCGGGGTAAAGGCTAGGGTGAAATGCTTTGAAAAAAGTTAAATTATTTATTGATCCGCCTTAGAAATATGGAAGTTTGGCAGCGATTGTAGTGAAGTACTAACAAAATATTGGATGGCTCAAATAACTAGTAAAAAGGTATCTATCAAGTGAAATTCAAATTAAATCTATTTAAAGATCTATGCAAGCTGGTACTTTGAAAATCGAATATAAACATAATACCTTGTTTCTTTTCATCACGTTACAGATAATAGAACTGTGACATTAACTTTTATCAAAATAAACAAACGTATTCTGGAATAATCAAGATCACTATCTAATATCTGCATCGCACGAATGCATTTTGCCCATTCTCTATCCCCTTCTCCGATAACACACTAAAGTTATCAAAATAGGCAGGAGAATGGACTGTGGACACTTTACTCCAAATAGCCGCATTTGCTATTACTGCGTTATTTTATTTGTTATTCCTTGTAAAGACTGGTTTCTAAAGCAAAAATGTGAGCTGGCTAACCAATCCATTTAGCCAATAAAAACAATTAAGCGTATTGGCATATGAATTGTGTAACTCTTCGATCCTATCTGAAAATCTGTTATTCAAAATTCACTGTATGACCTGGGTGGTTTCCTTGTGATACACTTTTATTTTAGCAGTATCTCTTTCAATTGTATCAGTTGATTTTTCTTTAGTGCTTCGACATTGTGTTCTCGTCATCTTTCACCTTCAAAATTACTTTTCGCTATCCGTTTACAGTTCATGGCAATTTAAAGTTAAGTCTATAAAATTTATTTTCATGATAACAATATTTCAACCACATGTTATAAAAGAAATCGCTAGGGCAGAACAGCTTTTTACAGAAGATGTAGAAAGAAGCCTAATTGAAAGAAGATCGAGTGACGCTACGGTTTTTGGTTTGTATGCGTTGACAATCTGCAGAGAAGGGTTGGGAGCTTAGAGATACCCCAGTTTTTCAAGGCGTCCACACCTTAATTACTGTGACACCTGGAACGAGGTTCGGCTATTTCACTGTACAAATGAATACTGTAATTTATTACTTTTCGTCATTTCAAAGATAAGCGGCTTCTGACTAAAAGCGCACCATTTATGAAGAATTAGTTCTAATAGGATTGAACATGAAATGATACATTATGGAAAATTTCTAGACAGGATAAAAATATTTTACAGTGGCTGCCCCAGACTCTCTCTCTCGACTATGCCGAATTTGTTGTTTGGATATTCAACAAGAATGTCATAAATACTTTTTTGGCGACAAAAAGTGATCAAATGGGACCTTCAATCTAGGCCATTTCCTCAAAGCAAAGAAAAGTCTAAAGAACTGGCAAAAGACTCTAGGAACTTAAATGTCTTGAGCCTTGTATTAGCAGCCTTTTCATAGGGGACTCTTTCTCGCAAAAGCCCTATTCTCACAGATGTGATTATGGTCATTGCAGTCTTCTTGCGATAAGCACTTTGCTTGGGTCCTTGATAAAACGGAAGTATATAGCTTACCAATGGCCTTAAGATAAATACTTTCATTACATCTATTAATCTGTCGCCTCTTGTTGAAATATATGCCAAATAATGCTTGGCGGCATTAAAACAGACACAGTGTGCTTGGTTGTATCGTCAATGAAATTTCATAAGACGTAGAATTCTTTTCAGAAAAACTGCAGGTAACTATAATTTGTAAATGAAGATTCTTGAATGAAACAATCTAGCAACAGGGGCTTCCTTGCAAATATCTGCAAAACCATTTTGTAAGATTCCACTCTTGACTTAGTCGTTCATCAATAATCACTTACCCCAGCAAAAATATACAGAAAAATATTGGTACAGTTACAAATTTAATTACCATTACTGCTCTATCGATGTGTTACAAAGAGCTCGATGTTGTATCAGCTAGAACTGTATTGTTCGTCCCCTGGTGATCGTATCAAGCGTGAAACACGACGTTGCAACTTAAAACCAGGGACGTAATTAGCAGAGAATTATGGGGTAAGATACACCTAATTTTGCATGAGTTTTGTTCGTTAATCATCAATTGGTTCACAAAATCTTTAGCTCGTCGCTAAAATCGCCTATCGATAGGTGAAATAGCAACTAAATGTTTCTAGACTTTGTCCTCGTCGGTAAATTTTGCTCTTGATTACCCTCCACATCCCCTCTACTCCATCTCCACTCCCCCTCCACCCCTCCTCTCCTGTCTGGAAGGTCGATCTGCACCACTGCTTAGAACAGTCCAATTCCATACACCAAAGCAAGTTTATACACTCTAGAAGGCATGGATACGACCGCTGAACCAAAATCATCTTAAACCCTCTGGGTTAAAATGCAGCGGAATTCAGGCATAAACAGTTGAAAGGGAATGTTTGTATAACAGTGCAGAGCTAATCTTTTGATGTCCAGTGTTTGTTTAACTGACAAGAAGTAACCGAAAACGTAGCCGAAGGGACTTCGTGGGAATGACGCTTCACCATCTTCCAGGCCTTGAAGGGGTTTTTCTTCGAAGGGCTAACCGCTTCATTGATTTAAAGTATAGAAAACTTTTCATGTAGCCAATGTCGTTTGATTCCCGATTTATTAAATAATGAACTAAACTTTTAAACATGGCGAAGGCAAGGAAATATGGAGGTACAGCGCATAAAATAATGAAACTAGTGGCAGAGGAAAGATGTTTAGAAAAGCATCCAAGGTACATGCATCTGTACCTTGAAATCCATAACCCCTTTGAAATGTTGTTGGAATTTAAGTAATTGTGAAAGAAAAACCAAGTAACACAAATTCCTTTCATTTGAAACAATGCGTGATAATGTAGCGTTGCGTCATATTCTTTCTATTGCAGAAGAATTCATCAGACAATGCGCAAGGACATACTGCTACCATGAAAACAATCCCACTAATTTACCATATTAAAATCCATGACACACTTCATATGAGTTTCTTAAAGGACATATCGGTTGGATGGAGCGTAAAGAAATGCATTATAAACCTTAATAAGTCTGCCTTGAACGCATAAGAGAAGTCAAAGAATGATAAATATATATTTCTAGACAAGTTTTCAGGCAGTCACCAAAATGAACATACATTACAAGGTGGTATATGAAGTAGGCGTCAATGTTTACGTAATCCCCTCTCAGAAATATGACATAGATTAGTTATTAAGTGCATTAGTTATTAACGGTTTGAAGTAGAAGCTATTGTTGAGAATATTCGAATGATAAGGTTGATAGAATGTCATACTCTCCAAGGCTTTTCAAAGGTGGCTATTCGCGTTGTCCGTGACTGGAGTAACCGAACACACAAAACGCTTCAGGAAAGGCAGAAATTTAAAAGCGAACATAGCTCTTTGATATTAAGCATTCATTACCCATAAACAGCACTTCGTGAAACGATCTTGCCTAGCCTTCTAGTGATTTTAAAACCCGCCGCCCCCTAATGAAAGAACTAGAAGGCTGATGGAAATGCAAAAAATTAGCTCATAAAATATTTAAACGTTTGTAATTTATGCAGGGCTTCTTTTAAAAGGATTATAACATCAATTTCATAGTACAAAGTATGTTATACGCTTCAGGGTATTTTGCGCATTAGCATGGAAACGATCTTTTAATGTTCGACAGCGATCTAGACTGCTTATTAGAGTTAATTTAGCAATCATCAGAAACTAAGCCGGCATCAAACATCCAACTGCTACTCAGATAACCTCCTCAAGGCTCTTATATTCATAACCAATGGCTTTTTCATAAAATGACGGAAACTAAAATGCTTTATACGATTTGATTTGACTACACTACCTGAGCTTTTTTTAAAAAGGGTGGCACAACATATTGTTAGCAAACACATGGGAGGTACAACATATTGACTGGGAAACTCGCTCTCCTAATGCAATCAACTCGCTTATGTAATGAATCATAATTGGGACAAAATTACTTTTTTCTTTTCAGATATTATGTAAAGATTTCTGTAATAAACTGAAAATAGCCCGATATTAAAATTTCGGTACCAACACAAAATTTTCCATCATATCAGTTCAAAAGATACTTCGAGTTACAAGATATTTAAAATAAATATTGCCCAGGCATTTGGTAAATACTATTGCAGATGTCTGATATGTAACTTACTGTTTACTGCATGAAGCACAGCGCACAATATAGCTAGCATTGATACAAGGTTTTCCATCTTGACCAATCTTTGAAATCTCTCTATGAATTCTTTCAAGGCTGAGAAGCAAATCGTCTTAACTCGACAATGTCTACGTCTTGTTCCGTTTCGACGGCCGATGGCTCTCTTTATATACGTTTGACTGCGCATGACCTTATTAACAAATGGAATGTTACGTCATCAAAACAGTTCCTTGTTTAACAGGGTTAATCATGGAGTACCGGTTTTGTTGACAGATGAGAAAGGGACCGCAGTATACGCCGGTGGGAGGGGCAAGATGAAGTCACAATCTTCTTAGAAATACAATTTAGACAATAAGCGAAACTAAATAAGCCAACTTATCATTTAAACTCGTATTTGAAAACACAACCTTTTGATAGAAAATTTTTCCTTTTTTCAGTTCACCATCTATGTCAAGGTGAACGTCGACCGGATCATATTTTATAATTGATGACCTTTTTTATTCATCACTTCGAGGCTAAAGAATACCCCTTATCAGCACCCTCAATTTGTTTGAGGGCAAAGCAACAAGACAACAATGCTTTCGGCCTTTAAACTCACGTGACCATATTCAGTAGATCGTAAATACTTAAGCTTATACAGGCTGTATAAGTTTAAGTATTTACGATCTACTGAATATGGTCACATACAAGAGATAACTGCTCGAAACCTAGGGTAATAATATATAGAGAAGGACGAAAAATTTTAGAGATCAGTTATGCAGTGCTAGGGCTCCTTCAGAGACTTGAGGGGTTGAGAGCTATAGAACTTATGGAGCTTTTGAAGTTAGTTAGTCGAACTTCTTATTACCATGTTTCATGATCATGGATATCATATCGTGTCTTGGGGTTCCGTTTTTAGATGAAGCTTTATTTAGGACGTTTTGTTTTGAGGCCCTTAGTTATCGAACTAAAGTCCCCTAAACTGAATTATGCCACTGATTGGAAGCTTTAAGCAGTGGTGTAATGCTATCGAAATAACAAGGGGGGCTCTTGCCCAAAATCTTTCGAAAAAAATAGCAAAAGTAGAGATATGTCAATTTCGGCATCAACAAGGGGAGCTCAGCAACCCACCCCCCATTCCCCCCCACGAGCCCCCCTTGCTCTACATCCCTGGCTGTAAGGGTAATGCAGTGACAACTCGGGCTGATTTGGATGGACCAGTCTTATTCGAAAAATTAGAATTTGCGTGGATGCGTTGCGTGTGAATGCATAAGTTGATTTAGATCTTCGTGCTGAGTGTGTAGGACGGTAAGGAAATCTAATGAAAATTACTTCTCAAATATTTTAGAACAATGTTATTTCATGTGACGAAAAGATTAATTTACGGAAAGCAAATCAATTTCAAAAATTTATCAATGTACATGCCTTTAAAAGAGGTGTTATAGAACAACTAACAATCACTTGGATGATTTCTAAGAAGCATTTCATTTTGTTTTCGCCGACAATATACCTCCGTATCCAAACAAAGTTATTAATTAGGCCGCAAAATTTATACAGTAAAGTTTTGTTATGGTATGCAGGTAGAAGACTTATCCTATATTACAGAAAGATATGCAAGTATGGACCTGCCCAAAAATTTTGCTATGAATTCGCACCAATTTGAACATTGAGCTCTTAAGGAAAAGTTTGAGGAAAAATGACTTCCAGAGGTTATCTAAAAAGTCATGTGACTTCTTTTGATAGTCGTCGGTGATAAGAACTTTTCAAAGAAATTACGAGATAATAAATGGTGACATAACAGAATTTCTCAAACTAATAGCACCGTAAGAACTACAATTAAATAAGCGTGGCCTATGTGGATTTAATTCTGTATGCACCAGGCTTCACTTTGCTTAAAAGATATAAGTACTCGAAGGTTGAATAATATCCAACAACACGTGCCGCAGTCCGTTAACGCAGTGCTGAAACCGAATAAAATGACAGTCCATTTTGTTATACTTTATATTTTGGCAAAAGGTGGGGGCTATAGCTGCCCAGCCCCCTGCTCTGTGGTGCCTTAAAAACCTCTTTCTCAACCCTCTGTAAATTGACTAGTACCATAAGACGTAATACATGTATATCATCTGCATTGGATCACAAACAAGAACTAGGTATAGAATCATGGTCAGAGGAGGCCTCCCTTTTTATGAATTATAAATTACGTTCCCTTTGAAGTCCTGTTAAATAATTATTGAAATATTCTGTTCCACTACTATTTGGTCACTTGAGTTTTTTTGCTAATGGCCTTCGGCTTCTCTGCTTCTAGCCATTGTTTCCATCAGCCAGAAAGTTGTGCTAGGGTATCGTAGATTACTCACAGTATCAGGACCAATCTGTAAACAATTTTACTTGCCACAAACCGTTACTAGCATTTTGGAATAATGTACACATATTGCTTGGACACAATTTTTTTTATCGAAAACAGCCGTTCAGCAGCGTAAAATATATTCAATATCAATAAATTGGCTTATAGAAAAAGTTTGTCTAAGAAATTCAAGATATATTTTTGTCGTTATTGAAAGCAGAAAGGTAAACACAGGCATAGATTGATCAAAAACAGATTTTTGGGCCATATTTCAGGCAATCATTTCATCAGCAGTAAAGCTTGCAGAATTTCTGGATGTGCCAAAAGACACGTAGCCCATCGTAGATAGGAAGGTGTTACCGTGGGCTTCAGAGCCACATAAAGAGAGTGTGAAAACAGAAGAGTACAGCGGAGGAGCGGAGGAGCTGAGGAGCTGAGGAGCTGAGGAGCTGAGGAGCTGAGGAGCTGAGGAGCTGAGGGGCGGAGGAGCTGAGGAGCGGAGGAGCTGAGGAGCGGAGGAGCTGAGGAGCGGAGGAGCTGAGGAGCGGAGGAGCAGAGAAGCGTTCAGCTGAGAAGGAAAATTGGCTCCTTCTCCTCTTCTCTTCCTCTTTCCTCTCTCGAATTTATGTGTGATTTTGGTACCCAGGTTAGGAAAGAGTCAACATGCAAGCGTATACGATCAGCATCTCAAATTTTTTTGCCTAACCAAACAAATGTCGTTTTCAGAGGTATATCCTGGTTTCCTTTTAAGCTACCTTGGCATAAGTTAAAAATTCTAAAAACATCTTGATATGATGTCAGTCTTAAAAAATTCTAGCAAGTTGATGACGTGGGCGTGACACATTATGATTTCTGAGAATGAAGGGAATGCGACTGGTTTTGTGTGTGTACACCTATTAAGGCTGAGTCAAGCATTTTGTACGCATTTCCAATTAAGATTTTAAATAGCGTTTCTCCACTTTTTCAACTGCCTATTAAAAACGTTTATATTCTCTATGACAGCGATTGAATAGAATTGACTTTTGCTCAAATTTATGGCTTGAAAATTGATTTAAAAAACCTCCATTTAATGCATAATAATCATCCGGAAGAAGCTCCTACCAAAATACGTGTGCGTTTTTATAATTTTTAATCATACAAAAAAGCTACAGGTTCTATTGAAAACATAAAACGCAGGCATTTTTGGGTCGAGAAAACAATTTTCACAATTCTTGCATGCCTAAGTTTATTCCATTCACAACAGCCTTTTCTTTCCGTTTCCAATATCAAATCATCACCAACAATGATTCATCACCAATACTTTTAAAAACCAATTTATAAATTATAATTTGCATCCTTGAAAGCTATCTGATCGCATATAAAATCCCTAAGACTTTCACAGCAAAGAGAGACGTAATATAACGTTATCCTTATGTTTCTTAGGAAACATGGAAAGTGATACTTCTAACAAATAACTTTCTACAGCTCTATAAGCATTCCTCAGATGAGGAAAGAAAGCTAGACGGGGCTAAAGTGTAGCATCTAAGTTTTGCTTGATTTTATTGTTGTATGCAAAAATTCGTTTGATTTCGTTCCACTTGTCCACTATTTTTTTTGCCACGTATGCATAAATGCCAAGATGATTTCTGTGAATTTTCTTCTGTTGCTACGTGTCAATGGCGAAATGTTCATTGGCCTTGGAAAAGAGGGTATTAAGCAAAAGAGTAAAAATAAAAAAACAAATAGATCGATCTAAGTTACAATGGTTTGAAGTCAGCTCCAACAAAGAACATTGTAAACAATCATTTGGTGGTACAAAACTTGAAAATGGCTTTGAAAAAAGCAAACATTGAGTAAACTAAAGTTTTTCGTCTCACACTCTTCATAGTTAAAAACGTAGGTCGAAAACATCTTTGTTTGGCCTCATCTCAACTATTTGATTTCAGGAAAAGGGTATAAATTTTCTTCGGTTTCAAAGAAAAGGTGGAATCAAATTGGGATCAAATATCAGAGATAAGGGTCAGTTTTCTAGATCCTCAGACACGTGTGCTTACATTTGATAATGTGAGATAACCCACTGGGGACATACTAGCTTGATTGCGCAATTCTTTATTGCGACGTAAAAAATATAGTTCAGAAATTTTTTGGTGATTCTATAAGTTTTATCAAAAATAATAAAGATTCTAGCTTGTTGATTGAATCCTAATATTTATAAATTGTCAACAAATCACGATATAGTATAAAGTGTTGGTATTTTTGCAGATACAAAAATTTATAAGGGGAAACCCGAGTTACCAGTGACTGCTTTTCAATAAGACCGTCTATTTACCAAAATGAATAAGTCACTTGAAAGCGGATTATTTTCTTTGACACTCATAGCAAGAAAACTCTGAGTCGCAGCCTTAGTTCCTTGTTAAATATATAGAATACCTTTTATGGAGTGCAGTAATGATGTGCTACATCTACTCATTGTAAAATAAAAACCAACAGGAAGCCCACTCATGAAAATTGCAGGCTGCCAACTTTTGTACCAAAAAAGAAACTGTTGTTAAAACTTTTCCTTAAGTTTCTTATAGATTCTTATTCAAATCCAAAGCTTGTGAAAATAAAATAAACGCAGATTTCTAGCAACAAGCTAGACTTCAATTTTTTGAATTTATTATACTGCTCTTTAAAAATTCATTTCTTTCTGTCCAAATTTATAAATGTCATTACTCTCCAGGCAGGTCCTGCATTTTTACTTTACACTATTTTTAAAAACTCTTCTTCAAGCTTAAAATGTCTACCTTTTTCCAAAATTCAATAAGAAACTTTGATATCTGATTTGAAAAAAAAAAATTCTGATATGTG